TGGCCTTCTATCTGTATTACTGAATTACAGCTAAATTAATACTAATTTATAACAACTGCTGAAGGACATCACAAGAACATCACCATTTTTATAAACTAGACAATATCTTCTGGGTGTGTCTCAACACAAAAATTTAGCCTGTTTCTCCTCTTCATTTGCCAACCTTCAACTAACAAAAGGCTGATTTTTTTTTTTAACTGTTCTGAATTAGCTGTTTGATTTTTGTTTTATTTGGGGATTTTTGTCTGGTTTTCTCCCCAGCTCAAGTTATAATAGCCTGCAGGAAGTTTTAAATTAAACTTCTGCCTGAAAAATAATTATGTCCCTTACAGGGCTTTAACAGCAGTGCTTTCAAGGGTTAGTGTTATAAAAACAAAGCCTAAAAAGCCTAGCAAAACAATTACCTATACTACTATAAATAATCTTACTGCACAACCCCTGAAATTTAAACTGAACTAACCAGACAATCGTTTACCAAGTGCAACTGGCGTCTGCTAGGAGTATTCATGCTCCGTCAGGAAGGAAGGACACACTTCCACAGCTGATAAAATGCAACCTTCAGCTTTGCATACGGCAATTCGGATGCGATCCACTTGCGCTCCTTTTCTTCCCAGCACAGCTCCCGTGCCTGATGCCAGCGCCCCAGGCAGGGCAGGCACAGCCAGCACCCAACAGCGCTGCCAGGCACACAGGCTTTGGGGCAGCAGCATCCCACTGCCTAGCTGAGATACAACACCTACAGGTATAAATTTATATAGTTACACTGCTTAATTAGAGGAATCCAGCCCGAGTGCTGACCCGGCCCGGCTGGGACATCCCTGTGGCTGCACATCTCTAGGGCTGCGGCGGTACGGACAGGGCTTGGCACTCGCGGCGCTGACCGTGGAAAAAGCCGCGCTCAGGATCGCGGATAAAGGTCCCGTCGGGCTCGGTGCGGGGCCCGGGGCCGCTGGGGAGGGAGAGGCCGCCCTTCACCCACCAGCGGCTTCTCCCTTCACCGCACCCGGCCCGGACCCGGTCCCTCCGCGCGTCTGGGAGGAACTCCCGGGCCGGGGCTTCCCGCAAGGGTGAGGGGAGGGGGCGCAGCCGCCCCGCCGCAGGGGCGGTGTGACCTTGGGCTAGCCTTTCCGGGCCCGGCGGCGGGCCCGGGGCTGCGCAGGGACGGAGAAGGTAAAGCCGGGCCCCGGGTCGCCTCACCCGCAGCAGCCCCGCGGCCGGCCGCCGCCCGCACAGCATCGCCCCCGCTGCCGCCGCCATGATCCCGCCGGCGCCCCCGTCACCTTCACCGCCGCCGCCGCCTCCGCCTATAGCCGGCGGCGTCTCGCCCCCTGCCCGCTGCCATTGGCCCCGCGGCGCAGGGCGGTGCACGCCCGCCTCTGCCATTGGCTGGCGCAGAAGGCGGGTGGTGACGTCAGAGGGGCCGGCGCGCGCGGTGCCGCGCCGCAGCTGCCGCGTATGCGGGACCTCCCCGCGCCGTGAGTCCCGTCCGGCCGGACATCAGGCGGAATTCCTCTACGGAAAGGGGATTAGACATCGGAACGGGCTGCCCAGGGAGGCGGTGGAGTCACCGCCCTGGAGGTGTTTAATGAAAGAGTGGGCGTGGCACTCAGGGCCATGGCCCGGTTGACACGGCGGTGCTGGCCACAGGTTGGACTCGATGATCCCGGAGGTCTTTTCCGACGGAACGGATCCTGCCGTGCCTCAGCACCAGGCGCGCTCCTCTCGCTGGTGGTGCTGCCTCTCGGGGCCAGGCGGGGCAGGTTGACGGGGACGGTCCGGGGCGCGGGGCGCACAGCCCGGGATGCCGCGCTGAGAAGGAAAATCACTGGTAGCGAACTGTATGGAGACCGCGTGGAAGATCCTTGCGGGAAAAGGGCCAGCCCCTGGCCTGGGGTGTGTCCTTTCCGCCATCGAGGCTGCTCCCCGCCCCTCCTCGGCCCGGCCCTGGCGCGCCCCACGCTGCAGGTTAAACTGCCCTGAGCCGCGGACGTTTAATCCCATATCGGATGGGCACGGCGAGGTCGGTGGGGATGAAAGCGCCAAGTATTGCTGAGCCCGGGACGCTTTGTGTCTGGCGTGCCCTTGTGCTGTAGCTGCGTGCTGTTTTCAGAAGAATCAGCAATTCAACTCCCCCTAAAGCCCTTCCTGCCTGGCCATGGCATAAACCCCAACATTGTTACCTCAGAGTTCAAACCTGGCCGAGGGCGGTCCCGGCCACCGCCTCCACGGAACGACTGATGCCAGCTCAAGCCCAGCTGCGTCTCAGGATGCCCGTCCCAGGCCCACGGTCTTTTCTGCACTGTGCTTTCTCCCCTCACACTCTTGTCTCTGAACCTGGATTTGTAGACGAAGGCCAGCTGTTTGCCAGCCTGACAGTACCTCTCGTCACTCTGTCTCTCCAACATGCACAGAACTAGGCCAGGAACAGCCTGGTTCTTTCTCAGTCTTGAGCTCTGTATCTCAAAGGAACAGGTTCAAAACACAAAGTGACTTTCTGCTGTAGCACAATCTAGGACAAGCAATTCTGTATTTGTTTCTGATCAGTCTCTTCTCCTCAACCACTTTTTTAATCCCTGAGGTAGTATATTGTTACAGTAACCCACAACTGAATGAAGCATTCCCCAGAACTGAGGTCTACCAGTCACATAAATGAGCATTTACATGCACATTTCCTTCCTCTTGTACCCTAAACTAGAAAAAATACCAAGAACCAGGCTTTGGACATAGCACCTAGAAAGCAAGAGTATTTCAACAACTTGTAAATATCCATTTGCTACCTTGACTATTTTTTTTTTTTTTAAATTATTTGGTCTTCACATTGTAGAACTAATGTGAAGTTCTGTCAAAACTACTTCAAACGATTTTCTGTTCTACATCTCATTCAATCCCTGTGAGAGAGGATTTCACTTTGTCCTTGCTCTCAAAAATAAAATACTTCCTGCTTTCTATATATATATCCAAAGATTCTCCAGACATGCAGCAAGAGGCTGGCTGGGACAGGCACTGGCAAGGTCTAGTCTAGACCTTCATTTAGCTACAGAGTTTCCAAGTTCAAACCAGAGATAATATAGGAACTGACAAATATTGTCTCAGGAAGAAAGGTTTTAGTCTGAAAATATATGTGTACCATATAGCAAAAACATCCAGGTTGGATGACAATGTTTTTAAGAAATAAGTAATGCTGAAAAACATGTAGAACAAAACCCAGAAAACTCTCATTTAATTTGTCTTTACTCCTGCAGTATAAAGCTCTTTTCCAGGGATATAACCTGCTAACATTCTTTAATTTTTTCATCATCTCTTCTCACTAAGAATGACTATAATGTACTAATTTCAAAGTCACTCACTCTTGGTGTCCAGTCACAGATCATTAAAAAGTCACACTGTGCTGCTCTTAGCTCAGCAGGTGGTATTTACTTTGGCCATGCCCTGGATCTGCAGAGCGAAGCAGCAGCTGCCATTCTTGACTCTAGCTGTTCTTTCTTACAGGTGTGTAAGGTTGCATGCAGGAGCTGAAGCACAGTATCCAACTGAATTTCCATAGTGGATCTCCATCACTAAAATAAATGAGGATCTACCTAGAGATGTTGAGATATCCAGGGAGTGGATCAAGAGCACAAGTCCTGTGAGGAGCAGCTAAGGGAACTGAGGTTGTTTAGCTTGGAGAAAAGGACGCTCAGGGCGGACCTGATCACTCTCTACAAATGCCTGAAAGGAAGTTGTAGCCAAGGGTGGTGGGGTTGATCTCTTCTACCAAGTAACAAAAAAATGGCCTCGAATTGTGCCACAGAGGGTAAAGATTGGATATTAAGAAATTTTTTTTTCATGGAAAGGGTTGTCAAGCAGTAATACAGCGAAGTGAGTCACCATCCCTGGACTTAGTGGATGTGGCACTCGGGGACATGGTTTAGTGGTGCACTTAGCAGTGATGGGTTAACAGTTGGACTCAAGGGTCTTTTCCATCCTAAACCATTCTATGATTCTGTTGACAGGTAAAGCAAAGAAGAAAATAAAGCCACATTCTCACTTTATCAGAAGAACGAACCAGGTTAAGCTTTTTGTATTTATGTCAACGATTCTACCAAAACTGTGATCAATTTACAGGGGTAGGAGTTGATTCAGCCAAGGAACTCCTGCAATAACTGGCTTCTAGGGAACAATGTCTTCTGAAAAATCATTGGGAAAGACTATATATTGCCCTAAAAGAGGGGGAAAAGTTTGGAAATAATGGCAACCTGCCATCTAAACTCTGCCTGCAAGAACTGCCAATTGGCCAATTCCCATGCACAGTACTGAGCAGTTGCTCAAAAATAACTGTTTATGCCATACAAATAGTTCTAAACTCTGCATGTACCAGAAAACACAGAACACCAATGGTTAGCTGGTGCACTTAAAGAAAGGAGCTGAAATATAAAAAGAGATTCGCATTAAAAGGCAAGAACAATCAGAGAAGAAAAGCCATTAGATTAAAAGCAATCCTTCAGGCAAGCGACTGTTCCCACATCACAGTTTACTGCAGGATCAGCTACCTGAAGGTCCTGGTGGCAACACCAGTAACTTTCAGTGACGCACATCGTAAATAACTTCAGAGACTAATGAACCAAAATATTCAGCAATCCAAGTTCATCCCTGTAAGTTGCACAGAGACATAACCTTTTAAAAAATGCCATAAACCTCTTTAAAAATGCTGTAAACTAAGTTAGGCAACTCCCAGGCACTTTTGGCATGGCAGGTTTTGATACACTGACTGAAAGACTACAGCTCATCTTTAAATAGAATTCGGAAGACTAAATAGCTCTACATATAATTTTACATATGTAAAAATTTTTAACAAGAAAAGAATTGCAAGTCTCCACTTTTGTTTTTTAATTACTCTGATCATAACAGCTGTTGGGACTTGAAGTCAGGCAAATTTCATACAGTGGCAATTTTAGGAGCAGCACCTGAATTCAAATTAAAAATTTTGTAGGGTGAGACACCAAAATACCTTGCTAAATGAGTAGTCTTTTAAATTACATTTTTATTTTGCAAGAAAATAAATTATACAACTTAAAAAATAAAATTCAAAAATTAAGCAGTACATCAAAATAGTTCAGCTGGACTGCCATACAGAAACTACCACCATTCAAAATTGTACAGCATTATTATCTTGGTAGTGGCACACATTCAAAATTGTAAATACCATACGGAGATAGTTATTACAACTCAGGAACCCGAGTTCGCTCAACACTCCAGACTACATATAGTGTATATGACAGGAAAGCTTTCATGTATTGTTTATTTCACAAATATGACCTTAAAGAATTACAAAGATAGCATCCCAGTCATTTAGATGAAAATAGAAAACAGTTTGAGATAGCAAATCTTTCTGTAAAACTATCAAATCTTTTTGCCAATTGTATTTTTAAAATTTGCACTTTATAGGACAATGGCATCCCAATGCAGATAAATGCAAGATGTGAACATTCAGAACAATTATATTAATTTTAAAAAGATGAAAATGAGAAAGTCGCATTGTCATTTGGAAATGTAACTGCATTACAGTCATAACAAAAAATAAATGAGTAAAAGTAGAAGCTAGGGACATCAACTGTGGAAAGAGGAAAATGGAAGACTTCAGAATTGAAACTGAGATTATCATCAAGTTGTTGGGACAGAGAAAGATTTAACAGTATTAATTAAACCCATTAAAAGTGATTTCCCCCCCTACCCCTTCTAAACCAGATTTCATTCCTTAGCTATTCACCGTGGCAGTGTGTGTGGCAACGTGTTTTTCAGATGCAGCACCTCCTTAAGCTAGGTCTTTGGACATATTTATTCATAGCTAAAAATTGCAGCCTTAAAAGTGCGTTGTTGCCATATTGCAAGTGAAGAATAGTTTTCATTTAGATCTGAACTCTACCCTCCCCAAAATAACAGCTTACCCCAGGTATCTCCCTGTGCCCCAGGTGATACTAGTTTTAAGTGCATATTGGTGAAGTGACCTGATGAAGGATGCTAAATGTGATTCTGCATCTTTAACAAATTTGCTGGTGTCTGTCTTAGATTTCATAAAAAACCCGACATCCATTTCTGGTATATATTTAAAGAAAATATGACCACATCATAGGCACATTACCAATTCTATTTCCATCCCATGTTTTGAGAAATGTATAGGTAACAATCAGGTTGTATTGTATTTATTGGTTGGGGAATGTGTAGCTCCTTGGCTTTTAGCAAGCTTTTCCTTTCTGCATACATTCCAGCTTCCTAGTTGTATCTAAGATGGAGTCTCTTAAACATCTCTCTCAAATCTAAACCAATGGCTTCAAAATTACCATGTGACCATTTCACACCTTTCTTCTCTGGTTAAGGGTTGGAATTTTTCATGTTGAAGAGTGTGCTCAGACTGTCATGTTCTCCACAGTTATACCAAGTAAGCATTTATTACTTTAAAGTTACAAAGACTGAAAGTCTTGCAGCACAAAGTGTTTTATTAGAATTTTGTTTTCTAATGTTCAAATAGTTTCACTGGTTAACTACACAGAGCACCACTTCCTTTTGATTCTGAATTGCAACACCACAGGGCCAACATAAAAGATGCAATATTTTTAAACAGCATCTACTTTTGAGTATCAATAAAAGCATGTAACACAAGCTGTAGGATTTCAATCAATTGTAATTGGCCAGGCCTTGATTTCATCTCGTGGTCATAAACCCTCACTACCAAAAATTTCTTACTCAAACAGATGTCCAAATACACACTGTTCTCAGGCAGTCACACTGGCATTTACATTAGTAAATGCAGAGCACACAGCCTGCTTAAGAGTGCAGCCATTCTTGGAGAGTTTGCTTTTAAACCACTCCTACTGTATACTTTACTGTAACCATGTGAAAGTAAAACTCCTCTAACTTACTGGAAGGCTTTCTTTTTTGACTAAAGTTAATTGTATCCTTTCCCCATTTCATCATCAAAGAAGATGAGGCCTTCACATGTTGTAGTTCAACTGGTTAATTAAAAAATAACTTCACACACTTGTAATTCATAGAAGAAATATTCATACAGAACTGAATAAAGCGCAACTTACCTTTGTCCTAAGACAGGCACTCTGCTCCTATGACTCATGGTATCGCTCCGGTACAGGCTGGGACATTTCAGAACAGCAGAGAGTAGGGCAGTGCCAAATGACTACTTCAGATGATTGAGAATGGAAAAGGTAACATTAAGAAGTTGAGATTCCTGATGTATGTTTGGCACTCTCTCTACATACACTGAACAAGGTATTTTACCATAGCGTTTTATCATTTTCATCAGAAGTGTACTTCCTACCCTACCAGTTACAAAATAAAAAGCAGAGGGTTTGTTTTTCATATAAAGATGTTGACTAGTCCAACTGGATAAACCTTGCATGTATAGAAAAGTTACCACTGAGGAAATAGTACAGGGATCTTCAATTGTTATTCTCTTTCTGCAGGAGTTGTGCATAAATTACTCTTTAATGCATCCTGATATATGTAGTCATACTGAAATATTTGGAATATAAATACTAAATGTACAAGGAAATACACTTAATATTTCTGTTCCTATAGCAGACCCACCCATGAAAACTGCTTTTAGAGTGAAGTTTCATTCAAGAAGCTTTTACCTTGTCAAAAAGGATTGTAGCAAATCACCTGTCCAAATTAAGGTAACAACATATCCCCTTGTTTACAGGAAACAATTTAAAAACAATGATCTCTTACTTAGGGAAAATATCACCGATGACTTGGAATTACTTTTGTGTCACTTAACGTGTCAATTATTAAAATCCAGTTACTAGATTGAAGCACTGCTCTAGCAAACAGGTTTTAACTTTAACAAATACGTATCAGTTGTGATGCATGTGTTTGTGTCTTTCAAATGTTATTACATGAAAAGGATCAGAGATGGACAGTACATTACTCTGTTGATCCAAAACACAAAAGTGAAAGTGCTACTCCTAGTCCTAATTGCATTAAAAAAAAAAAAAACAACAACCCAAAAACCAAAATCAAACAAAACAAAAAACAAATCCAAAACAAAACTAATAGCAGTTCCTCAGTGCATGAATATTTGAATATTTTTTCCTTGTGCAAGTACTGGTCATCTAAAAACCCAAACCTGTATTCTTCCTGGTGGGTGTAAATCAAATCTACTTTAAAAAGTTCACAATGGGCTCTTCATGAATGCAAGTTTCCCACAAAACAGCATGCTGTTAAAAGTGTGCAACATGAAGGGAATGCCATCATGCTAGCTGAATGAGATTGGCAAAATATAGTCCTCTGTAAGGTAAGGCAGGGATTTTAATATGTAACGAAAGTCAAAACAAGTCCTTCTGCAGCACAAACTGTTGCAGCTGTCTGTCCAAGCACCCTTCCATTTATGTTCTCAGCATCCTGCAGAGTCCTCCAATTATGCCATGTATATAAAGGTGTTGATATCTGACTCATCTCTTCTGATATATTTGTGTTCTATAAGCCATTCAATTTGCTCTTTTATCATTTTCTTTTGTGGCAAGAACATGTTTTTCAATATTTCTACCAGTTCAGTCTGAAGTTGGGCATTAGTAATTTTCTTCCGCATCTTCATTATTTGGATGATAGCCTCCTGGTGGGGGACAAGAAGAAAAGAAAAATTATTTTTAAATGCCTGGGTGAAGTGACAAAATAAACACAGCATTAATAGGAGGATCCTGGTAAGGCAAGACAGCAAGGAAATCTGTATTTCTCCTTGGAAATCAGACCTATGGTGCATTTTTTTAGCCTATATAGAACTACTTTTACAAAGAAGCTGATAAAGGACAAGAATGAAGCACTGGCAAGATGCAAGAGATATAAGACAATTCCAGTCAAAGGAGCAGTTAAATCCTCTATCTAGAGTGTGACTTATTCACTAAAACCAAATGTTCACTCACTCCCTGAGCAGAAGTTGCAGTTTCCTAGATGACTTGTGATATACCTTGTGAACATCTCACTCATTTCCTAAGTACAGCTAGGCTTAACCCTGTAATTACCCCTGCTATCAGAATGGTTACATCATATGTTACATCAGGTGGCACAACTCACAATGTGCGTGGCCTGCAATCCAACCTGACTGATAGAACAGACCTGAAAATTGAAGGTAAAATGAGACTCCATTGTATGTATGTAATGACCCTGATGCCAGAAAAAAATCAAGCTTTTTAAAAAACTGTCAGCTCAAAAGATTTGGCTTGAGTAGCTGATTATCAACCACAGAGCAGGAAGCTGCAGTTTGTACAGTTAAGATGCACTTTTCAACTTCTCCTTTAAGGAGAAGTCATAGTACTGTTACTACAGTGTGATTCCACCTCCAAGACTATTCTCTTCATACAGACCAAAGAGATATCAAGATCAACAATGCTGTTTATTCATGGTGGTGGCCAGTGTCAGTCAACGTTACCAATCTGCTCCTGTCACCCACCCCACACCGTACGCCTTCACCACTTGCTTAGTATCTGCTTTGTCCTCTTTGAGGTGATGACCTGTTACTTCAGAACAGGAGGCTGATAACTGCAAGTGCACAAACACACATGCAAAATCAGGTATTCATAAGGATATAGAGTCATACAGCAGAAGTCATTCCAATGGGATTCAAAAACACCCATTTCATGCATCAACATCCAACCATAGGCAGCAAGTAATGATAACACAACAAATTACAGTAATGACAATGCTACAAAAGAAATTGGGGAATTTTGCATTCCTCCAGCAGGTTACTTGCCTGGGTTCGCAATATTCTTAGCTGGACTATTCCTTCATTCTCCTCTTCCCGCATTCTCTCTGTAGTAAGTTGCAATCGACCAATCAAATTTATCTTGCCCCTTTTCTGAACTTTAGCGTTTTTTCTGAAAAGAGTTGCATTGCATGAAAGTGAGCAAAAAAAAAACCCCAAAAAACCCCAAAACAAATCCCAAAACTTTCAATTACAGAATTATTGTTAAACTTAAATTAGCAACAAGTACCATGACAAATCAGATACTTATAGGTTATTAGCATTAAGGCAGTGAGAGAATTGTCTAACAGATCAAAACCCAATGCCAATGTTTCCACACAATGAAACCTAAATAATGCTAGCAAGCATAACAAGTAAATCTAGCAGCTGAAACAACAAAATTTCAGAAAAATATATTTCAATTTAATTATATAAATATAGGGTTCTTTCGAGAAAGGTTTTACAACAAAGTTCAGGAAATATGACTAGTTAATATTCCATCAAAGAACTGTTTGGGACAAAACCCAGCTATTGCAACGAAGAAAGCTGATGGCATTCTTCAGTGGTCACCCACAAACTTTCTCTGCAGCCTGTGTCTTCTGTCATGTCCTCTCATCATTTCCCAAAGCTCAGAATCCTGATGACAGGAATAAGCATTATGGCCCTGGGCAACAAACTAAGCCCCAGGAAAGCAGATTCATCACTTATCTCTTTCTCCACAGATCCAGATGTCCAGCTGCTGCTGAGAATAAGGCACACAATCTGAGGTTCCTATCAAGGAGCCAGTTCTCATCATAGACATTGAGAATATTAGGCAATCAGAAGCAAGTAAACCACAGTGAATGTAATATCACTTAGACATTCTCTCTTTGTATTATCTTGTGCTTGAAGGACTTCAAAGCACCAGTAAAAGAGTACTGCAATTCTCACAGAAATAAAGACACTCCTCTCTGGTGGGAGCCACACCAAAAATCCTGGCTCTTGACAGCATACCACATTATTAAGCAGATTCACTTATTTTTTTTCAACTTATCACTCTGTTTCTGAACTCCTCTGTGTGTATAATAATCAATACAGCACTACTGCTCTGAATACAGGCTGTCTTTCATGAAATTTTATGGACTTGTTGCTCACTGGAACATAGCAAAGCCTTCAATTTTGCACCTCGTCCCTAAGTGTGCAAGAAATTTAATTTCACAAAAATCAGAATTATAAAAACAGTTGTTTGAAGAGGCTGCTGGAAGTCATCTAGTCCAATCACCTATTTGAAGCATGACTATTGCCAAAAAAAGTGAGAGCAGGGAAGCAAAGCATGTGTCTAGGTTAATTTTGAAAACTTTCAAGAACAAAGGTTAAGAGTAAAGTGAATTCCTTTAGTTATAAACCAGTACATTGTTATTTTACTTTTCAAACATCATCTTACATTAAACTGAACTCCTGGTTCACCGAGAAGAGGGTTCCTTCTGTAAAGTCTTTGGGTGAATTGACTTGAGGTTCATATAATAAAACCTGACGTTTCAGCTTTGGAAATGCTACAAGAGACTACAGAGAAAAGGGGAGGGGGAGAAAGAATGAAAATAAAACACCAGACTTTCTAAATGGAAACAACTACTTTCTATAATAATAATTCACTGCAGTGCTGATTGTAGTGAGGGAACCACATAGCCTTGTTTGGAACTAGTAAAATCAGAGAGGGGACACAGTTTACCAAATCTTCTTCTGAAATGTGTTAGCATAAGCAAAATCATGCGAAGTAGTAAAATACACAAACTCATGGCTACAGAAGTGGTGTTAAGTCTGACTTTCACGATTTCTCTCTTTATGCATGAGCTAAATAATTAGAAATCTGCTAAAGCAAACACTGAAGTTATTTTTAACCAACATGTATTTACCAGGTGTCACTAGGTTCCTAGAATTAGACCAGACCCACTTGATAACACACAATCATAACTCTCTGCTTTAGACAGCATATGGTCAAAAAATTCTTGCAGTTTCCAAAAGCTTGTGAAGTAACACTGGGTAGGGAGAACATATTAATGTAAAGGCTGCGTGTGCTCAGCAGCAGTACAAGGAGCCAGCACTGCAACTGATTAATTACCAAGAAAGGCATTCACATTTCAATTTCACAGTGTTATCAGACAGTGCTTTAGAAATACTAATCCAATATTTCAGAGTACAAAAGAAGCAATCTGTTTCAAGAGAAAGGGATATACCCATAAAGTCCTCCTAAGTTCTGCATCAGGGAGTTCCGTTGCCAGTTTAAGATTTTCAAAGCTGATCTTCTCTCTGGGTCTTTGGTTCCATGCAAACAGCACGGCCAGCTGAAATGTTGTTACCTCTAAGTCATACTGGCCAACCTCATTCTTAAATGTTATCTGTAAAGAGGATGAAAATTTTATTTATAAGTCTGTCTGAATCACAAGCTTTCTTACTATTATAAACAAACAGAAAGTGCAGTCATTAAGACTGATACAATGAAAACTACACACTTACAATTCCATTGGACATGAGGTGGTGCCAGTGGAGTTTTCTACCACTGTGATTCTTTTTATAAAATTCTTCAACCTCTGGGATGAGATCTTCTAATTCCGTGGGCAGCGAAACAAACACTTTTTCAGAACTTCGGGACCAGGCACCAGCATTTAAAATTTTAATATTCACAGAGTCAGCTGTAGGATGATATTGGATTATATGAATCTCCAGGTATAACAGATAGATGAACCAAAATGTTTTGGGTTTCTTTCCTACTCTCAACACAATTATTAAGGATTGAATTTTTAGAAAGTTGCAGGGTGTCTGCCTGCTTAAACTTTAAGGCACTCTGTGCACCACTGACTTTCTGCCAGCAGCACTGATTGAAACTTGTTTTTTTTTTCTTGCTGCTGCAGAGCTCCTTGAACACTGGTACAGCTTTACAGCTGATGCTTATAAGCACTAAAGAGTTTTCAGCATGGCAGGTCCAATACTTGATGTTCCTCAGCCTCTCTCATCAGTAAAACTGTCTCAGAATGTGATTTAAACTCTCTATAGCATGCATCCAGCTCTCCCGCTGGCAGATAAAGGAGGACCACAGCATGGAGCACTAGAAGAATGATGAGGGCATAAAAGGAGGTAGTTCAGGCATTCACCTGGCTGATGCCAATTCAAGTCTCTGCTTGCAATTTGTCTACAAGAGAAGGGAATCTATCTACAAGACTGCTCACAAGAAAAACCCAAAACAACTCACAGAGTGATACAGCTCTACTATCAACTGCAGGCGACAGCAGAGTCTACAGACAATTCCAGTCTAGGGGGCAACAATGCCATGGAGACTGTGTTCAACCTGTAGTTGATATAATTTTAAACCTAAGATTTAACAGGGCTATTTTTCATTAAGAAAAATAAAAAGTAGCATGTAATTTGAAAACAATACCTGGTAAAGCAAGCTTATTATTTTTGTGCATTTCTTTGAAGGCCTGGTTCAAGTCTTCGGAGACTTTGATATCCTGAAACATTCTAGCCAGCTTGTTTACATAGTCTGCTGGCATTCCCACTTCCTACATAAACAAACAGATCAGTAAATATGACATAGAAAACTATGATGAAAAACCTTTATTTTTAAAATAATAAGCTCAAATAAATTAAGAGCACAAAGAAGTACACTGGTATCATCACTTTACAGTAATAGTGAATCTGCAATGCAATATAAAGGGTTTTCTGCATGGATCATAAGTAGTTATCCTTAAGGGCATACGGTGATTCCTTTAAAGAAATTCAAGTGCTGAAGAACATATGCATGCATTAAAGAATCTGTGAGTTCTGAAATTTGAAGGAATGTTTCAGGCATGCAATTAATATTCTGATCTACATAAAAATTAAAAATTAGAATGGATCTCAAATTATTTACATAATTAAACAAGTACACTGCATTTTGCTTATATGGAATATATGAAACCTTTAGATAATTGTATGTGAAATATTTTAAAATCTGTCACTGCCACTACTAGAGAAGAGCTAGAAAACTTTACTTTCATGAAGTACTGTGACAGAAAGAAAGTATTAAGATGCTTGAGTGGCCAGCTATTAAAGATAAAACTCACCTAAGCAAGAAAGATATTTGTGTTCAAGAGTAGAATATTAATTAATCACAAGCATGCAGCACAACCGAATAAAGATGTGATGCTACTTACTCTAAGCCATTCCACCATATTCTCCTCAATTTCACTATCAGCTGATATATCTAATATCAGACGTCTTGTTAAGTGAGCTTTGTGATATCGCATGAAAACATCTTTATTCTGTACATATTTAAGTACCAAAAGCTGTCAAAAAACAGATAATATATTTATTTGCTTTGTGAACCAGATGAGTCTGAATGCTGATCTAATGGCACTGTAGACTATGACTAGAGAAAGGCTACTAGATGTTGCCTTAAGAGCAACTGTGTTACTACTATCATAGACATCAGCAAGGAATGTTTCATGATATCACACCTTCAATTTCTTAATTTTTCAAACATCAATAAATTATTTTAAATCAAAAAAGACATGGACACTGGTATGTGAAAATCCCCTGTATTATTTTCTAGACAAATATTAGTTATTGTAATATGTTACAGTCTTATAGGCATTAATTTAATATACCAATTTTGTGAACCAACACAGGAGACATGAAACACTGAATGATTTACAATATTTAAACACACACACACACACTTGGTAACACAATAAACTCTTTTCTCTATAACTATTACACGCTGCATAACTGCTCTTGAAGATCAAGGCCTCAACCCATATAAGGAAATAAACCAAACAAATTCCTTCTTCAGAATAATTGTGAAATGGAAAGCAAAAACATACCACTTCTTTAAGCTTTGCTTCAATTTCTTCAGATGTTAGTTTTTTGCTTAGTGGTGTTTTTCTTAGCAACATGTCACAGTAATTAGCAAGAAGCTCAGGGCATTTGGATTCAGGCTGTGTTTTCAATCCAACACTAGATAAAAGAAGAACAGTATTTCTTCAAACCATACAGAATCCTGCTATTCTGGAATAGTCGCATTGTTAACAAGACAGAGCGCTCTCTCCTGATCCCCTTGGCAAGGATCGTGGTGGTGAATTTATATCCTCGTTAAACTAATGAAAAATTAGGGATAACACCCTTTCTTCTTGGAAGAATAAATACTGCCAAACACTTTCAGAAAGCTTCTACAGCTTATTTTAACTAATTACAATTTTAGATCCATAACAATGAAACTACAGTGTGAAACAACAAAATATTACATGGGAAGAAGTATTCCAGTAAAGAATTAACAAATGCTACAATGAAATGTTTCTCTCATCTCTGCAGTATGCTGTAATGAGGTCTCAAGAACAGCCTCCTGCACCACACTTCACAGACTGCAAACCTCAACCCATCTAACACATATTAACAGGATTAAATTATTTCATCACAGCTATAAAGGATGGACAACAGCTAGGAGATTAAATGCAAACTAAAGCTGAACAAGATACTATAGTAGACAGACTGTGGTTCTCCAAAATTCATCAAGCATAGATCATGTTCCGAACCTGTGTCTAGACTGGTGAATAAAACCAACAGCAAGGACCAATCCCTATTCCTAGAGTCAGATGGCACCACCCTGACTGCTACTCAAGGGCCCACAGCAAGTTCAGGAATCCATTTTTCTTGCTCATTATTTCAACCTCTCATCTATTAGTAAACACAGAGCTAACTCTTCAGACAACTTGTCCTTTTTTTTTTTAATTCATGAAGCAGCTTGCAGGCTAATGTCTTCTGCCCTCCTAAAGACCATTTCAAGTACAAGCAGATCACAAATCTTTTGGTTATTACAGAAGACTAAGCAAGATGAAGTTCCATTTTGGTCAAACCAGGCTGCATATCTAGACAACTTCAAAGTGCTTGGGAAGAATACTACTGAACAGAAGACCATCACAATTACAGTGGTTTCTAAGAAACCACTAGGCTGGATTCACTTTAAGATCAAAATGAGGTATCAACTGGGATGGTCCCAGAGGAAGTGAAACTTTTAGAAGATACCTAAGAAACTCCTCTACCTTACCTACTTCTATGCAAAGTATAGGAAGCAGGGATCCAGTCTTTTGTGACAGCATTCCTCCAATAAGTACAAGGAGGAAGACTAAGCCCTATTCTGGCTTGCCATTATCTGAAACCAAACCCAGAATATGAACCAAGACGCTGGACAGATATTTATAACCATCCACCTCTAACTAGAAGCAATTGGAAAGGGAAGCTGGCAGCCCAGCCACAAAAGCTTTGTTTCGATAGTAAATCAGACGACAAACTATATATAAGCAATCCCAACCACCTAAATATATACAGGCTCCTACTGAAGTGGCACATCACACGGTAAATGTTAACAATCAATTAACTGACTGCTACCTTCTCTTGGCTGAGTTAGCAGAGCAGGCACTGTAAGCATGGTCGTTCTTCTTGAGTCACGCAGGTCTGCCTAATCTACTGGAAGTTGTTTAAACTAACCTGGTTAATCCTGCACTGAAAGAAAAATGCAACAGCTGGACAGATCACACTCAAAACTGGCACAAGAGGAGGTGGAAAACAGCTTGTGGATGGTTACACCTTAATCAAACACAGTTATTCCCGTGAAGATTACTGCCTCATTTTTCCCCAGGACCTTTGCTGAAGTTGTGGCAGAGTTATACAGCTGAGGTTTTTGGCATTAATAATCCAGGAAACCATTATTAACTTCAGCTAACAAACTGACTCATAGAGAATATATCCCCAAATACTACAAATAAATTTAAGTTGAACACGTTGCTATTCACTGATCCGCTTCCACACAAAGAGAGTCTTACCAGAGGTCAATAAACAGACTGAAATTCCATAATGGAAATAACACAAAGTCCTTTTAAACACTTTCTGAAGAGACATTTTAAAAACCTTGATTCATATAAAGTTTACATGGCTTACCCCTTTTGCTTCAATGGCAATTCAAGTTTAAATATCGTAGCATCATTCACAACTGCTTTGTACGCCTGAAAAATAATTAGATTATTGGTGCTTCACTCAATTTCTTTCTGATATGAATTGCAAAGATTTTATCTCTTTTTACACTACTGTAACATGGAATTAATTCAATTTTTTTTTTTAGCCCAAAGCTTGCAGATTCTACTTTCAGTTTGAGAGTTCAAATTCTATGACTGAACTTCCCAATAAACTGATATTTTCCTGTTTTCCACTAACATACTCGTTTTCTTCAAGCAACAATTTAGCAAGGGATTACATGGAGCAGGTTGCATGTCTGAAGTCATGACACAAAGTAAATTCCAAACACAAATTATTGCTGAATCAGACATTACAGTTCTCAAACTAAAGGTCATCATCTAATGTGCTCTACACCATTACAAAGCTGAATATATGCAACTTTATACAACATTATAACAGAAATTGAAAGCTCCTCAGTTGGTAGTAAATTTCATCAATATTTGAGTCTGCACATTTTATAGAGTAATAGCAGCTTCTAAATTTAACAGTGAATGCACACAAGGGTTTTGGAGACATCATAACACAAATTGCAACGAGTCTTATAGTCAACAAAAGACCAGCAGAAACACATACCTTATCTCTGGCAGTAAGAAATCTTGGATCATCTTGAAAAGCTTCTTTAACCAACTTGCTAAACCGATTAAATAGCGTAAGCAATTGCTCTACATACTTCTCAGAATCCTAAAGAGGCAAAAATCAAATAAAAACCCAAGGTTCCACAGAATTCAGTGTGAGCATACATGTAATTCCCTAATCTGTAAAAATGCTGTACCCTAAAAGGCCTGCATACTGTGAATTTACATTTTATCTTTAGTCTCTGGATCGAAGAGCTCTACAGCACGTAGGCTTAAACACAGACTTTCCGGATAGTATTTCCAATATACAAAAAAAAATTAAAAAAACTGTAACTTTCAAATACTATACAGCAACATTTTATTTTAAAGGACATTTTCAAGGATCAATAAAAGACAAATGCCACATCCTAACTGCTGCAGACACCTAGGCCTCCTAAACCAGAGGAAAAAAAGATGATAAAAAGCTGAGAAGGTACACTGGGGAAAAAAAAACCCTTAAAATTCCCACACTGAACAACCACTCTTAGATTGGAAGCAAATTTCAAATTTCATCAGGAAATTATAATTCTGAGAAAATTGATGAGGCTTTTAAAATTAAGATTCTAGCACAACTGTATTGTAAAAACATCCCATGCACTTAATTTATAACCTTTACAACAAATTAGACTCAGTTTTTACAGCCACATCTGAAAACAAATAATAAAAAGTTATCCTAAAGACATTTAGAACATTCAGCAAATCAAAAGTTGATCTCTAAACACAAAATCTTAAAAATTATTTCCATTCATGCATTTGTCCCAAAAATAGAGAATATTTGGCTTCTGCAAAGTTGTTTTGCTGTTGTTATTTTACTAAAACCCAATACACTTACAGTAGTAATAGTTTCAGCAGCTGCTACCATGTCTGCAAGTCCAGCACTAACTATATGTTCTTCCAAATCCTTTAGCATAGGCTCTATGCCATTCGGAACTTTATCCATCAGTGAAAACATTAAATGCAACTCTGAAAGATACAAATACTGATGAAGCCACCAGTCAAAGACATCTATAAAACCCAAATATACTGCATTTCTCCTAGGCATGTCTCAAGCGGAACATTAAATATGTGAAGAATGGATAATCCAATTCATCTCTTAAGAAGAACGATGTCTTGAGTACTGTTCCAATTCTGGTCCCACAAGAAGATTCTTTTGAAGGCAAAAAAGGGTTATTTATTGTAATGTAATACTTGCTTACACATGTAGCATCTTATATAATATGCTAATGCATATAGTATCACAAGTTTGAATAAGATCCCCCCTGAAACCAATGCCAGTTTGGATTAAGACCAGGTTCTAAAAAATTGCCTTCAAATCCCAGGCAAGAATGTCTCTCAGTCAGAAGCCTACAGGACGTTATGCAGGAAACTGTATGGATTCAAGACATCTTTATATTTTAAATTAAAGCCAAACACACCTGTGTTTGTGTATGTTTCAACACCACTTACATGCTTTGTTTTATAAATCTTGCTAAGATCTGAAGTAACCAAAACTGACTAATGCAAACAGTGAACTCTTCTTCCCAAAGACTTTATTTAGTTTTTTCAGAAATTTACCAATACAAAAACTTCAAAAAGTGATATGCTTTGTCTACTTTCTGTGAAGCTATTTCCATACTGCTTAAAAAAAAAAAAAAAAAAAAAAAAGGATATTAAAACATCAATAATTATCTTGACAAAGCTGTCCACAAAGAACACTGGGATTAAGGTCACCAGATTGTTGTAAAGAGACCACAGAGATTTGAACTCAGCTTGGCAAAAGACTTTGCTTCATGAAGTAGAACAAATGGACTAATTTTTTTTTTGTCAGAAAACAAAATTTATAGATTCACTTAGTTCCTCAATGTTATGTCTACTGTGAGAGTGGAAAAGTCAAGAGGCCCTGTCTTTGCTTTCTCCCCTGCATTACTTTTGTCAGCAACAAACATCAAGATCCCATCACCACTGAGGATGCATTATGCTATCATCATCTGTACGGCAACAGCTGCTACAGAAGCAAGTAGAAAAGCACAGAGAAGAAAATAAATCCTTTTAGAACATAACAAAGCAAATTAAAGAAGGAAACTACAAACAATGTTGAATAAGAACTTGCAATGGCACTACAGACAACTCATAATGGGCTGAATTCCAGAAACCAGGAAAAAAAAATGTAGTTGGAGGCATTCTCAGTGCAATTTAGATCTGCTGCAACAAATGGCGGGACTTTTTTACACACAAAAAAGTCCAAAACCTCAACTTTTACTGGATCTTTTAATCTAGGATTTTAAAAAGAGTAAGAGGGAGGAAAACAGAGCAGAAAAAGAGAAGCAAAAATATGTTAAAGGGCTCTACATCTGTTTCTGTACAGTAGTGATGCCATAGATACCCAAAAAAACCAGTAGTTTCTCTTAAGAATCAGTAGCAAAGGGAGACTCCAGGTGCATCCCTAAGACTGCAGGATCAAAAAACCCATAAATTCTTCAAAGACAGATTTCAAAGTAACAAAACCAAAAGGAGTATTTTACTGGAACTTCTCTCAGAATATATTATGACTGTGAAGAGTAAAGAAATCAATGCTATCGTTGTTGGGGCGCTTAAAGTCTGCTTTCACTCTGTATTCATGAAAGCCAAGCATACTTTTTATTTCTGTTGCACTTCAGGAATAAAATTTAGGCCTCCCTTCCCCAATACTATAAGCAAACAAAAACACAGAAAGTGAATTCTGAAGTGTTTGCAAGCTATGACGTTTTTGATAGATTTTAGTTGAAAAATATTATTCCTTCCTGTCTTTGCACAGCATGTAAATATTACTTAATATAACAAGAGTATGTGCCCAGCTCATAGACAAAAATCCCCACCAAAACAGCCTTTTGTCAGTGCTGTTTAATAAAGAAAACATCACTGAATTCTTTGGGGCAGATAATATCAGCAAGTCAGATGAGTAAGCAAAGCACAGCAGAGGACATTATCAGATGTATACATTACTATGCACAGCTCCAGTCTTTAATCACGTTTCAGTCATCCGCACCTGCACCCTTCATTGAAGCATTTGAAACAGTTCTTACAGACTGAGCGGAAGTGCCCCGCAACCAAGCACTACGGCAGGACACACACAGCCACAAGAGAGGGCTGTGTGAATATTTCAACAGGGTTCTAAAGAAGGGTCCTTTGGCAGATGAGCCCTTCTGAAGCTCTGCATTTACATAAGCCTCCTGCATTCTCCCAAAGGCTGTAACATATAAGAAGTTTCACTGCTTTCTACATTTAGCTCTGGACTATTGCCAGAAATCATGCTGCTAGATGAACAGATCAGTGTGACATAGTTTTGAGGTCAAATATTTTCTTAAATGTTGGCTTTAGAAGTGAGTATTTTCTATAATATTCTAAGTCATAAAACAGTTTTCTCATTTCAATAGAAATGAAAACCTCCAAAGACGTTAGTAAATATTCCCTGGCTGCAGGATACCAAGATTTCAAGAAAAATTATCCTGTGATTTCAGTTTGGGTTTTTTTTCTTATTTTTCCTACCTGAGTTTTAACATTTTAATGACATTTTTAGTTTGTTTTATCATACTAACTTCTCAACTTCTGGCAGCAGAGTTAAAAAAAAATCTTCTGAAAACTTTCAAAAGGCATGCAGAGCTAACTATCAATACTCACACTGATATACTGGCTATAAAATCCCATGAACAGCTTGTAGCAATTTTGTTCATTTGACCTACCGGTCCTGCATCAATAATCAGAATAAGAATAATTTTTCCCTGAAAAAATCTTTTATAAAGAGATGTTTCACTTTTTCCCCAGGTGCAAAGAGGTACTGGGGTGAAAAAAAGAAGAAATGTTTGTATCTGGATTACTCAAAGAGAAAGTAAAGACATATGGAGCATTTAGCAGAGTTGGTCAATGCAATGCAAGTGTAGGAAAAAAATAAAGAAAACAGAGCACAAAATATTTTCTTTCAAGCAAGATTAGAGCTATCCACTCATTCAAATTAAAGTATTGTGTATATAGATTTCAAAAGTGATAGGAAAAAACATGAATCAATGGAAATTTTTTGTGGGATTGTTCATTTGCAATAATATTTTTATATGAAGCACTACCACCATCTATTAAAAACAGTAATTTGATATATCTACACACAAATCTATTTTTATGCAGGTCCTGCAGGGTTCACCCTGCACTGCTCTTGAAGCTCCACTTACTTTCTGTTTCATTTCGTTTGATCATGCCTTGGCATTCAGCTAAAATAGTCTCTTTAAAAGATGTCACCAGGGCATTGACGCAGCACTCCATGAGCTGAAATATATTAAACACAGGATTAGCTCAAGCAGCCATCTGAACTGAAGTCTGATGTGTCTCAAACTTGCCATGACACAAAATCTAAACTGTTCTCAACCATTAGCTCTATAAAATAATTAACTCATTCACTGATTCATAAAAGTACGTGCAGTTTGAATAGAATCTATGCAGGAACCACATTTCTTCAAAATGTTTAGGTTAGTAAATGTGGCGAAATCTCCTCCAAACCATTAAAGAGCTTAGTATTTCTGTTGACTCTTTTCTCTCAAGGGAGCCACCACTTTTGGAACAGTAACTACCCTATTTCATTTCTAAGTATACATCCAAGAGCTAAGAATAGTTTTCATTCCAGTATACCCTATTTGGACCAGGCTGGATGGCTTGAACAAGGCATTAGATCTAGAACAGAAACTGCCTGTACATGTCAGGACCATCTCTCCTTTGTCAGGCTCTTTATAAGGGCTACAATTTATACCTGTGCAAAATGAATGACTCACAACTGAACAATAGGTATAAAGCACATTTTGATCATTCAAAAAAAGAAAAAAGATCATATTTAAAAGGTATTTATTTAAAATAACCTGTTTCCGAACTAATTTCAACACAGACAATTGACATATTCATTGCATTCTTCCTCTAGAATCTGAACTGTGTAAAAAAATTGCTGAAGAGGGAAGAAGGGGAAAGAAAAAAAGAAAACCCATCTCTTATATTAAATGTCCATATTTCTGCCTAAGAGGAAATATATTACAGCTTTAATGAAATTTCTATTGCTCCTTTTGATTGCAATGAACTCTTTCAGGTGTTCTAAATGAGCACTGAGAAATCGTTTGCCAAACAGATGTGACAGTTCATTTTCAAACACAATTCTCGTCCACTGTTAACCATAGGAAAAATTACCACCATACCTAACTCAATATGAAAGAACAAAAACCAATCTGAATAAAAACCTGCCCTTCAGTTTTAACTTTTGATCTACATGTACTATTTACACATTTACAGAAATTGTAAATATGCTTTTGCAACAAATAATTTATGATTAGCAAACATAAAATAAACAGTTCCAATTTAGTACTATCAAATAATACTGTAACACAAAACTGAAAACTACCATATAACACTATATAACTATGAAATACACGATTTTTCTACAAATTATACTCACTGCTTCTACAGAGTTACATTCACGTCTTGTTTCTAAATATCGTAGTGCTCTTTTCTCTTCTTCTTTTAGTTTAGCATCTGCCTGTGCAAAAGTAGAACAGCAATCATTTTAAGTACTAACACATTCAGTACAAAGTTACAACAGAATTTTTACTTACATATTTCATATAATTCTGTACACCGTTTTGTTGTAAATAAGAAGGAGCCTGTGTTCTATAAAATCTCTCTGTTGAATCCAAATATGCCTTTTCAAAGTTATCCCGATATATCTGAAGTTTATCTTCAGGATTAGAACAAAGGTTAACTGCAAAGAGAAAGTCCAAACTTACTCTCAACTCTTGGAAATTTATGTGGCTAATAATAAGTAAATTTCAATGAGAGAGTGAGACTTGTATTAAAAGGTTTCATTAAACAATTTGAAATATCTGATAAATGGACTCTGATCACAAAGGCAACCAAATTTGGCCAATCTTTGCTCCCAGAAATATTCAGATCAACTATGGCAAACTGGAAAACAGTTCATACTTAGCTCCAGCATGTCAGACATTCAAACTTGGTAACCATAAATACACATACAACTGCAAAATTGTAAGAAAGGAATAAAAAAAAAAAAAAGGGAAAAGTTCTCCACCTGACTAGGCAAAAAACTTCTCGTAGACACTGTTCCTGGAATCACAATGTCTCCCTTTTAGAGTTTTTTTCCCTGTTTTACAAGAATGAAGACAGTAAGCTTATTGCAGTGCTTTGCACTGTTGGAAAGAGTTTCCACTTTCCCCTCAACTGTTACAGAGAAATGAAAAGTCATTCAATGGAATATGCTTTTTAAAAAGTTAGAATTTGACTTCTATAAAAAGCTGTCTTAAAGGGTATTAGTCACAAGTTTAGTTCAACAGGCTGGAAAGCTTTCAAAAGTAGCAGGCAATGGTGAAATATCACAGAAGTTTCAGATACACAGAAACACAGATACATCTGTTCTGCAACAAAGAAAGTCTGAAAGTCTTAAAAGTAGCCTGGTTAGCATTTCTTCTTCAAACTGTCTAAAGAATCAGAAACAGTATCTAAAGGAGTACAGACTAAGTTATATGTGAAACCCCAAAAGGTCAGAAAGTTCTCTTCTCTTTGAAAACATTGCTTTTGCAGTTACTGATACACAGGTAAATCACTTAGAAGCTAAAGATTATAAATAAAATTTAACTGGTATCATGTGTAACATGCACAACAAAAAAAATCAATACAAAATGCTGAGATAATTCCAACCCTACCACCACAAATGCCAACTTTTTGAAGAAAATTAATTTAATAAAGTGAGGAGGCAACAGATCGTGTGTGCAAGACATACCATATGATTCTCGAACTCCAATAACGAGCTGGGAGTCAAAAGCTTCTCCTAGTCTTTCAGCATGAACTAGCTTCATTGCACTGTCCTGAAGTCTATTTTTTATATTTGAAAATATGGATTCATTCCACGTATCTAGCATGAGCTGCATATCAGGAAGAAAGAAAAATCCTGTTAGAAAGGTACATGCAGACCTAAGTTTGTGCAAAAAAGTACATGACATCAGGAACAGAATTGAGTAATTTACAATGTAATTTTCAAGTCATACACAGCAGTTCAGCTATGTCAGAATATGATCTTGCTCTGAACTAGTTATAGAAGTCATATTCAGCTCACTTTCTAAATTTATTTTATGTAATTGGACAGCTAAGGAAATCAGTCTTGAATTCATGTATTAATTCAATAATTCTCTATTACTTATACAGTTCTCCATAATCAGTCAAGTAATCTTTCCAGTAATACAATGTGTCAGGAGTTGCTGTATCGGGGGTACTTTTGAGGCAAACACCCAAATATAATTCACCATTTGGCAGGCACAGTCTTAGACAAAACTAAAGACTCAACTAACATCACAGTTACATAGAGAAAAAGACTGACGGTTATATATTGCATTTATCCAACAAGAAAGTTCAGTATTAAGTAATGCATCTGTAGTTCATAAAAAACTCCAAATTTCATCTAAGCACTGCAAAGTTTTAAGATTAGTTTTGGAGGCTATTATCAAAATCCTCATCATTCAATGTGCCCCTTTATACCCCATTGTGTGATTTCTTATTTCTGGTGATTGCCATGAATGCTGCTGCATCACATTACAGGATTGGTGCAACATCATCTTGAGCTACAGAATGCCCTCAGTGCTGTTACTACTGAGGCCAGCCATGCAACAAAGCTCTCTGGCAGTACAGCTCACTCACCTTTCGAACAATGCTGTCTTCCACGTTGGACTTCTTGTTGCTGCCCTGCTTGCCCATCAGAGTGATCTCCAGCTGACAGAAGGGCTTAGGCAAAATGTCGCACTGGGTGAAGAACTTGCGCCACTCCACGATGTAGGCTTTGAGTAGAGCTGTATCATCCTGGTGACTCAGCACTCTCTGCAGGTGGGGCAAGCAGAGGAGGGAATTTATTAATTAATTTATGCACAAAATATGGGCTCTGTTTATGCTGAAAATAACTCCCCATATAAAACTCAAATATACAGTTATATCAGAATAAGAAAGTCTACATATTGAAGTGCCTTTTGGTTTCTTGCAGTAGTTATTAGCCCATGTCATATGGGTCGTTTCTAAAGGGCAAAGAAGACAGCATTTTAAAAGTACTCAGTATGTTCAAATTTTCTAAATTAACCTCTTTTTCTCTTTTTAAATCATGTGCAAGCAAAAAATTAAAATCTTTGGTCTAAAGGCATGTGCGGTAGAACTATATTTAAAAAAATTAAATTAACATAAACCTGTAAGGACCTGTAACATAACCTCTGTTATATTCTATACACTGACACGTTTTGATTCAATGGCATCTACTAACCTTTCATTAGACCCAGACAGACAGTTAACATCTAAATTTTATTAAAGCCTGAAAACTTAGCTACATTGTACACTGGCTACCATAATGCAAAAAAAACCCCCAAACCTGTCTATCAAATAACAGCCAACACAAACCACATCAAAAAGACTCAGCTTAGCATAGCATTTATGCATGTAAGCATGTATGCTATGGAACTTAATAAACAACATTTATATACCTGGTTATAAAAAGGCCTCTACAAAAAACTATTTTCCTTAAAGCAAAGCCTTAGTGGTATAAATCACTTCACTAAAAGGATAAAATAAAAGTGTACAGAATCTTTCTAAACCATTGTCACAGCATGCTTTAGAAGCTTTTTTTCATTTCACAACAACTCCCTCTTTTAAGTTCCTCATAGCAAAAGAAGTTTTCTACAGTATGTGTTACAAACACAAGAATTTCCTTTGAGTCTATTGACAGCATCACTCGTTTGGAGGGAAGCCCATAAAACTGGACAGCTGAGCTTGCTGAGTTGATAGCGCTGATATTTGTAGTACATTGTACATATGGCTTCTTTTAAAGCCATTCGTGACCATGTTAAAATAGCACTGAAGCTATATAAACTTTTTTTTTTCAGACAATAACCTCTAATAGAAAATTCTGCCTTTAGAAGTTTTCAAGAGGAAGAAGATTCCATAAGTACTGTTGGATAAACCAAAATAATGCTGTATTTTGGCTTTTATATTTGCAGGGCAATTATGATCTCCAGAACATCATAAAATTTCAAACAAAAAAGCAATGCATTTAGATCCAACAAAAATCAGAATTATTTGGCTATTTTTCTAACAATGCAAATGAAAGATATGTAACATTAAGAACTTACTGCTTGTGCCTGTTTAATAAAATCAAGGATGTCTTCCTTCAGAGCTTGATGGATTTTTGCTGGACCTTTATCATCCCACAAGCAAACTGCATGTACATCTCTAGAAAACAATTTATCCATCTTTTAGTAGCAGCTACTAAAAATTTAATACTGTAATGTATGAGGCTTTAACAGTCATAACTTCAGAATGTCTAAGAAATTAATACACTTTTAATCTGCCATTGTTGAACAACACACAACTAGATGCCAGTGACACATGAGAGAAAGCAAGTTTTGGGAAAAGATTGAAGCTTTAAGGAAGTCCTGGAAGCAACTAATTGCAACCTATCTAGGAGAAGGCTATGGTCAAGAAGATGTGTAGGGCAATTCTGTTTTCAGTACCTATCCAATAATCTTTACTGAATTAAGGACAATTTTTAAAGCTTTTCTTTGACAAAGACAGACATCACTTGCCAGTAACAGCATTACTACTCAACCCATGCTATTCTAAAGTGTTATCATTAATATGCAGCCTTCCCTGACAGTTTCACAATCCAAGCACTACAACATCCTACAAAGGCAATATACCGTCCTCCTGAGAAATTTGAACCCTGAGGGATCAGGTAATTTAAAAGATGTTTTAATTAGTTTAATAAGATCACTCAAAACATTTCATGGCAGTGGTAGCATTTTCAAGGGAAAAAACTACTGGAGAAAAGTTACTAAACAGCACTGCAAAGCAAAATTCTGAGTTTTAATCATCATTCAAATGAAAATTTTCCCACCTTACAGCTCAGCAAGTGTATCTTAGCTCCTGTTCTTTCTATACTGAAGACTAAATAAAGCAAGTTACACTCCTAACCATATATCATATATACATATGGCTTAGCAAGCCTTTTTTTGACTCATTACCATCCTCTGGCTCTTCCACCTTCCAGTAAAAAGGCCACATATCTGCAGAAAAGCACCCCTATATTCTAAAGCTATTACTTTGTTCCTATTAAAGCAATACATTTATTTCAATACAAAAGCAGCATTTTTAGTTTGACCGAAAAGACAAAACTCACAAGTTGCTCTGACACAGATTAAAGGTGCCAGCCCAAGGTTTACAGGGGTCTAACTCAACTGGTGAGACTTACACAACAGTCACAGGCAGAAAAGGTGTTACTGCATTTAGAATGTCATTGTTTCCTGACAGCAGTGAAAAAAAAGCAGTATTGGATAATTATACTCAAAGGGCAAGTAGAAGACACCTACAGATTTTGCATTTTTATTAAGAAGCTTAACAAAGAACACTGTCCAAAAATATAAATCTAGGGAAGTGGGATCCTTTCCCTCAATAGCTTTAATTTAGCCATGAAATTACTTAAGTTCTATTCAATAACTCAGCTACAAGGAAAAATAATAAAGTTTCCATTCCAATGCAGAATTATTGAACTAGTTATTAAAAATTAAAGCAATGACTCAGAACTGAATTTTTACCTTAACTATACCATGTCTGGCAACTACTACAGCAGAGACATTGTAAGATATTAAAACTCATCACATATTAGATTACCTGTGCTCTTGGCTGGCAGAAAAGTGTGACAGGTGCATTAAACTGGTTGTAAAAAGTCACTACATTGTCCTCATCAAAAAGAGAAAAAAAGACAGAGTGCAACAAGACTGCATTTGAAAAAAACTACTGTTTTGACAGATTTTAAAAAGCAAAAGAAGAGTCTGCAGATTTTAATTACAACTATATTGGAGAGCAAATAACTCAATTGGGACAAAGATTATTTTAGATATACGTTTGATATTTCTTTTGTAACTCACTTCCATAGCATGTTTTCAAAAATCACACAATGTATACCACAAAAAAAAATCACCTAAGCTTCTGGAAAAGCAGCTTCTTGCTTTTTAGAAGGAAGAAAACGTCAAGGTTTATAGAAAGCATATTAATACCAACATTGTCTGAAAACTCTTATATTTCATTCTTAGGGTAAAAAAGTATTCAAATTAATCTGTTCATTCAAGTTAAACTGCACCACCCTGTTACTTCAGTTATTTTAGAAGAAAGCCATTCAAATCAGAATAATGTAACATTCAGCAAACTGCCTTTAAATGAATTTACTGAAACAGCAGTAAATATTTTCTCTCTAATTCTAACAAAAAGTTTGTGGGCAAGTACAAAACTTGTTTACTATGGTCAGCTGAAGTCAAAAGCTCTGCTGTTCTTTCTTCGCCCTATTTGCAAAGACCTGAATCTCAGCAAAGCCCAACTTTTGCACACTTAGAGTGATGTTGGCACACTTATCTCTTAATAAAACTTAAACTAATATTTTTGTTCTGTGTTTCCAAACAATCTGTGTCAGATAACTTCTGTCTGTAGCAGGAGTAGTTCAATAACTATATTCCTATCATGTAGAAGGATGTAAGATACCAAAAATTACTTACGAAAACAGATCAAACCATTGCTGTTTCGTGACAGACTCCTGACGAAGAAGTTTCAGAACGATTGGGCGCATGAAATCCCATTTGTCTTCAAACTGAAGTGAACCTTTATTCTAAAAGAAACAACAAAAGTAATGTTAATAAACCCGTATCTTACTTAAACTTATCTTTAAGGATTGCAGTTCATACAGTTAATATTAAAATATTTTCTCAGGTGTTCCTCATAAGCCAGAATTTAAGCTACACTACCACAGCTGAACAACACTTTTCACAATAAGCATTATTTTAAGTGACAGAACTATTATTTGGTTCAAAGAAACAGCCAATTTCTTCATTTAATCACTGCATTAGCTACAATGCAAAGTTCTAGCAGGTGTTCTTCAGTTGTTAGTGGAATTATATACAGACAACATGGATGGTATTTGGAGCAGCTTCACTGTTCCAACTAAGATACCTGCAATAGAAGTCAGGAGGCAGTTGCAAACCTCCTTTCTTCAATGAGTTACCCTGATCAAAATGGCAGCAAGGAGTCAGGAATGGTATTGTGGATGCTACCACGTACCTTTTTTCTCTCACAGTGCATTTGGCATCAGCAGCAAAGAGGGAGGAAGGAAGCAGAGTAACGTAGGAGCTGCTGTATTGCAGACTCCCTTCCTGTGGGTTAACTGGCCACAAGACCAAGATTATCGCTGGTACAGATAAAAATTATTTACACCATGATGAAAAATCTAATCCAAGGTGGACTTTTCAAACTTGCGATACAAACTAAGAGAAAAGGTAAAGAAATTAAGTGCTCCCATATAATTCTGATTCTGAAAAGTCTCACCACAGTATCCAGGCTAACTTCCATTCTTGAAAAAGCTCAAGCAACACAACAACTTTGAGATAAAAATAGCCATTCTACCACATATGTTGTGATTCTATTTGCTCAAAGCTCCATATCCTAAAACGAAAAATATGCAATTAAAAGAATACACTGATTCAGAGTCTGTGGCAGAAAGACTACTGGTTCAGTTATCTGCAGGGCTATGTTCCAGTGCACTGCTTACTTCCGAACAGATCATTGTCTTGGCTAGAAACACTACATTTGACAGAATTCACTTCAAATAGAGCAACTAATCTGCTTTAAATTCTGATAAATGCACTGTTCTGCAACTAACATCTCTTCAGATAAACAAGCACAAACAGCACACCACGTTCCCTCAATCACCTCCTTTTGATTAATTACTGCATGGAAATTTGCAATTAAATCTGTTATTTAGTATTCAGAATAAGCACAGTTTGTCAACCACATCCCCTGGTGTTCTCAAATGCAAGGATACCTCATCTTCAAGTTACAAAGATGCAACAGGCACCACAGTAACTATTTTTACAGCCACAGCACCTGGAGGCCTCACAGCATTGTGGTAGATACTGAACACAGCTTTCATTGAATTTCACTGATTCCATGAAATATTGTTTGGCTGTTCAGAGACTGTTTTACCTATTCTTTCCCAGTGCAAAAAAAGAAGTAATTTGAATGCATCATCTTTGAAAATCAACTAAATGCTTCCCCTATATACAAAGCCAGCTTTATAATTACTTCCTAATGTTTGATGCGTTGCTCTAATCTTTTTTATTCACGTGAAAATTGTTAGCTTCTACTTGCAGATACTCCTGTTCCAAGTCTCTCTTTGAAGGATAATGAACATAAAATATCAGCTACTGAACAGTGAGAAGTTCCAGAAAAGACTTTATTAAAAAAGTAAAAGCAACTTCCTTAAAAGATTTCCTTTTGAATGAAACATCAGAGAAGACCCCTTAAGTTTTGTGGAACAGGTAAAAATACCTGTTCTGAAATTTTTGATAAGTGCAATTCAGACCATCGCCAAAACCAGCTAAAGATAAAACCTGAATGCTCTATCTTTGTGAACAAGATTAGTTTCACTATAAAACATGGGGAGGAGGAGGACTGCAAATGCAACTGTTTAAGTGATTTAGATTGCAATTACCTACTTAATCCTAAGAGGCACAAATAAAACTCAACTTCAGTTGTAAAAAAACCCTGTGTCCACTTGTAACCAGTATCTTAAAAAGAATTCCTCAAACAAAGCTTATCCTGAGATCCCATTAGAGAAGTGTAGAACTTTGTTTCCTATATGTAGGAGTAAATTTTTTTCCACATTTCCTTCTTTATTCTTTAATTAAGCAGAAGATGAAATAAAATTAATGGATGAAAAATCCTACTCAACTAATCTTTAAGTTAAACAAACAATTCACAGAAATAAGGATAAGCTGAGTTGGAAGGGACCCACAAGGACCATCAAAGTCCAACTCCTGACCCTGCATAGGACCATCCTCAATCACACCATGTGCCAGAGAACATAGTCCTATTGCTTCTTGAACTCTGTCAGGCTTGGTGCTGTGACCACTTCCCTGGGGAGCCTGTTCCTGTGCACAACCACTCTCTGGGTGAAGAACCTTTTCCTGATAGCCAGCTTAAACCTCCCCTGACACAGGTTCAGGCCATTCCCTCAGGTCCTGGCCACCACAGAGAAGAGATCAGTGCCTGCCCCTCTAATTCCCCTCACAAGGAAGATGCAGACTGCAATGTCTCCTCTCAGTGTCCTCCAAGTTGAACACATCCAGTGATTTCAGCCACTCCTCATATGGTTTCCCCTCAAAGCCTTTCTCCATCTTTGTTGCCCTCCTTTGGATATTCTCTCTAGTTTAATGTCTTTAATATACTGTGGTGCCCAAAACTGCCCCCAACACTGGAGAGTGCAGAGCAAACAGAGCAGGACACTCCCCTCCCTTGCCCGGCTGGCCATGCTGTGCCTGATGCCCCCCAGAGAGGGATTCCCACACCCCAGGACAGGGCTGGCCCTCCTGGCTGCCAGGGCACTGCTGGCTCACATTCAACTTGCCACAAAACAGGACCCTCAGGTCCCTTTGTGTGGCACTGTTCTCCAGCATTTTATTTCCCGGTCTGTCTGCACTTCCAGGGTTGCCCCATCCCAGGTGCAGAATCCAGAACTTTCCCATGTTGGACTTCATCTGGTTGGTGATTGCCCAGCCTTCTGATTTGTTCAGGTCACTCTGAACAGCCTCCCTGCCTTCAAAAGAGTCAGCAGCTCTTCCCAGTTTTGTGTCATCTAGGAAATTGCTTAGTGTCCCTTCCAGTCCTATGTCCAAGTTATTTATGAAGATGTTGAAGAGCACAGAGCCTAAGATGGAGCCCGGTGGAACCCTACTTATGACAGGTCTCCAGTCTGACATCACCCAATTTCCTACAATGAACCAGTTGCTCACCCATCACATGATGTGTTTATCCAGCTGTGGGCTGGACATTTTTTTGAGAAGGATGCTCTGAGAGACAGTATGGAAAGCTCTACTGAAATAAAAAAAAGATTACAGAAACATCATTTAGTTAGATTTAGGCTTCCATGACATTACAATTTTACAGTAATTACAGGAAGAAAGGGTGCATTAAATACCACCTACTTCCATCTCTTTTAGTACATGACAGAAAACAGGTTTTATAGTAGAAGAGGAGGTCAAACAGTGGCAATTCTTAGTTGTTACCAAAGTCACACATGCAATTTCTGAGCAGTATTTCCTGGGCAATTTTTCTTTCCTACTTTGCTTCCAACCACAGTTCCAAAGGAAAGGTAAACAGAACAGTAAGGCATAACTTTGATGAAATAAAATTACTTCACTTATCAAATAGTCTCTGAAAACACAGACTACAGTTGATGGCCACACCCTTAAGTAGCCATTCTAGTGTTTAAATTTTAATGCTTAAAAAACAACTCCACGTATGAAATATTTTGTTTTAAAATTCAGTTCAATATATTTGTTCATAAAGATTTAAAGTTCCATTTTAACACTAAACTTCACTTGAAATACATACTACTTTACACATTATACTTTTCCATGTTCTTCAATTCTACTCATAAACACTTAAACATAACAGATATAACAAGGCAAGGCAATACACCACGACCTTCATGCTACTCTCCCTTTTGAACTTCAAAACGTCTCTGTGGAACTCTCAGGCCACACAGAAATTCAATCCTGGTCTCTCCAGATGCTTTACATAGTACTTTATGAAAGAAGTGATCTCTAGGTCTTACTGTACATCTGATCTACATCTGAGTAACATGTTCATCTCTACAACTCCATTGTTTCCAGACAGTATTTATACTGAGGCCAGCTCACAGAGGGACGAAGTAGGAAATATGATGTCCCAAACGGAAACAAGTACTGTCTGATTAATCTCCGCTACAAGTAGCTCTAAAATGCTACTTGTAATACTTGTAGCAAGTTGCCACAGGAAAAGCTTTTGAATGTAACTAACTAACGTGCAACACTCTTAAGGATATCTTAAGGATATCCTAAATGAAAACAGCCAAAAAAAAAAAAAATAGACAAACTTAAAATCAGATCCGGAAACATGCACTCTAAGTCAAAAAATTCAAAACCTTCAAAGGTATTTCTAGTTGTCAGCAACACACAGGTCAAACTGATACAAAGGTAAACAGTGATTGTCATTTAATTTAAGCTCAGGGAAAAACTTCTTCTTGCTTCTTTCCAAATATCAGGCTCATGGTGGAGTTCATCTTGCAAGGATAGACTCCTGCATTTGCTGGCAGCTCCACTAAGGCCCTACAATATTGTAAAGATCTACCAGCATGGATACAGCTATAGGTTTTCTTTGTGCTACAATAAGCTAACGTCCTCTCTGCTCCACAAACTGCAGAAAAACTCAAGTATCGTCATGTCACATGGGTGAATTGGTTTAGAATGTATCATCACTGCAAAGAGAACAAGTTATAATCCTACAGGGCACCTGAAATGAAGTATCCCACTTTAGAAGTGTCACATGTGTGTTGAGACAAAAAACTCTAGGGTCTCTGCTGGAAATGGCTTGGTTACCTATCAGAAAGCCACTGCCGCAGCGAGGGAGAGCAGCTCTGCTACAGGTAGGGCAGGTACCAGCTGACCCTGTAATGGCTCTTACTAAGCATTTCCATCACATTACAGTTTGCTCTGTCTCACCAGGATTCAACATGACTGGTCATTCTAATTTTTCACTTAAAGAAGGCTCTCCAAGAATATGCTTTTCAGAAAAGAATTTACAATTAGGAAAATTAAGCACTAATGGAGTTTAAATGACACCCTCTAAAATTATGATGGCCAGTCAGATTTGGATTCAGCTACTATCTGTTAATAGAATCAGAAAGGAATATTTCATTTCATTGTCTCAACTATGTGGAAAGCTGGACCAGGATGGGGGGAAACAAAAGAAGATAGTCAGGTCCTGCTCATGCTGGCAAAACTAAGGCCTGTCTATACCCAACATAGATTTGATTATGCAGGCTTATTTGAAACAGATATGAAAAAAACTTGCAGATTTTAACACCTCTCCTTCCTTATCCTGGGATTTTTACTGGGCCCAGACATTGGTTTTTTTTTCCCCTTAAAGATGAAAGCAGAAGTTGGAGACTCAGAGGGCACAAGGCACTGCCAGGGAACACTGACCTGGAATGAACAGTTTGCTTCTCAGAGAGCACTCTGACAAATGGAACTGGGGAACAAAGCACCTTACCTCGTTCTAATTCTCACACTGGTTTATCTTGCCATTATAAACCAAGTCGAATCACTGTATAATCTTTCCTTCTGTAATGTAGGAATCATACTTTATTGTCATTGAAAAACTGACTAATTAGTAAGCTAAATGCTTAATAACACTTTGAGTGACCAGAAATGCCTATTTTACAAGACATATCTCTGCAGCATTTTTCCTGAAACACACTGCGCATATATATATCTTATTGTCAATATAAAACACTGACAACTCAAAGGCCAATGGCAAAATCACGACCAGTTAACAAAAAGAGTTCAGTTTGGCACCCACCAAGTCAAGGCCTCTGTTTTTACTACTTATTGCTCTTTCAAAATAGCTGAAGTGGAATGCTGACAAATCTTACAGGCTTATGTTTCTCCTATCTGCTGTGGGCTATCCCATCACATGTATTATCAGAGCATGTGCTGGACTTTCGAGAAATCCTCAAATGCACAGAAAAGAGATGATCTAAAACATTAACAAGTAGATAAAACTGTCTGAGCCCTGCTCTGAACACATGCATTTCCACAAAAATAACATTTCTTCTTATGAGATACTATTTTTTCGCCTGTATTCTTGGGTTCCTCAATTTTAGATTTTTAAGTATTTTGAAGTATTATCTGCTTAAATATCTAACAACTTCTTACAGGCATAAAACTATACAGGAATTAATTAAAATTAATTTCAATTTCAAGGAAGATTTTTAAAAACATTTCTTTTTAATATAGAGGTTTTTTAATATCCTGAAGAAACAAAGGGATAAATTAGTTCTCATTTCTTCACAATGAATGTCCCAGAGTAATAAATAAAACCAGCAAATTCAGGCTAGATCTATGCATCCAAATTAGGTCAGGTTAGTAAAATGCAAGCAGCACTTTTCCAGGACCACAATGAACTATAACATGCAGTACTGAACATATGTTTATGCCTATATTTATATATATCTTCAATTGTCAATCCCTCAAGTTAAGCAGAGAGCCTGCCCTAGGCCTATCTTAGCACTGTAGTTAACTGGTGTTTTAGAAACACTTACTGTAGGCACTAATAACAGTGGTTTCAAGTAGGCCCATCTTCCCTGTGCTAGCATGGCCTCAAAGACCACACTGAGTCTTCTCCTCATACATACCACAAAAATCAGGACAGGCAGTCCTGAGCTCAAACACTGGACTGTCCCTCTGAAATCTTCCGTTCCAAACTGCAGCAGCCTGGGGTGACTGACATCTGCCATCAAACGCCAGGAAAGTGCTTGAAAACATATGACTACAAAAGCAAAGCTGCTTAACGTAAGCGAAAGGCCTCCGGGAGTTTTCCTTTGCAGGAAATCTGCAGTCAACAAAAAAACTGGAACACGGTGGCCACCCCAATAACGGCACCTGCCCTCAGCGAAGACATTTTCCAACTCTTTGTTTAACTTAAAACTCATCTTCCGTACACCCGGATTTTCTTAAATAAACAAAGAGAAGACACGGTGCTCTGTCTATCCGCACGACGCAACGCTGTTTCCAACGGGGCGTGTTTGGGACGGGAGAGCCGGGGGCAGGGATCGCGGGGCTGGCAGCAGGCAGCAGCTGCCGGCGGGGCCGGGCCGGGCCGAGGCCGGCAGCCCAAGGCCGCTCACCTGCGGGTGGGCCCTGGAGCGGCAACTCCGGCCAGCGGCACCCGCGGCCCGACCCTGGCCATGCCCCCGGCCCTGCCCCCGGCCCCGCCGCACTGTCCGGTCCGGCCACCCGCAGGGCCGCCCGGCCCCGCCGCCTCCCCCCTCCTCCCGCAGGACTCGGCCGGGCTCCGCTCTCACCTTTAGGAGATTAGACGTCGCCATGATCCCCACTGCGGGGCCTCCCCGGCCGGCCGCGGCGGTTTCTCTGCTCGAGCTCGGTTCGGCTCCCACCGGCCGCTGCCGCTTTACATGGCCCCGGGCCGCTCGCACGCCCGGTCGGACCCGCGGCGGCAGCGGCAGCAGCAGCAGCGGCGGCCTCAGCGTTAGGCTTCCTTGTCCCGCGGCGAGGCTCGGCGAGCCCGGCAGCGGCTGGAACCGGCCAGGTGCTCCGCACGCAGCCGCCCCTCAGAGCCTCATGGCAGCGTCCGCCCGGGCGGCGCTCGGCGGCCGCGGCTCCATGGAAGGGGCCGGGCCCACATGATGCGGCGCTGGGAGCGGCCCCGCCGCCCCGCGCGGCTGCGGGCCCGCCTGCAGCGCCCCCTGCCGGCCCGCCGCCCGCGCCGCCCGGCCCGGCGCCGCTGCCCTCACGGCCCCGCGGGGCGGGGCTCGGCACGGAGCCCCGCGTTCGGCGGGACGGGGCGCTGTGGTTTGTAAGCGCAAAAATAACTTGACTACTAACTAACTAACTAACTAACTAACTAACTAACTAACTAACTAACTAACTAACTAGCCCCGTCCCGCCCCGTCCCGCCGTCCTGTCCCTGCGGGTGCTGCGGCACGGCCCCCCGCACCCCCGGCGGGAGGGATCGGAGAGCACCGCGGGCACACCCCGCACGGCCACCCGCACTGAGCCATTTGCCGAGAAGCCAATTCCCTGCCGTACACCCATCTAGCTAAGCCGCCACGCTTCGTGCCAGTTGTCGCAAATGTTCTATTTACAGAATTATTAAGTGTGTAAGCATCTGAAGGAAGGGTGTCAGGAGGATAGACCAGGCTCTTCTCAGTGGTGCGCAGCAACTGGAATGAGAGACAATGGACACGGAAGTTCTACCTGAACATAAGGAAGAACTTCTTTACTGTGAAGATGACCGAGCACTGGAACAGATTGCCCAGAGAAGTTGTGGAGTCTCTCTCACTGGAGAATTCAAGAACTGTCTGGGCACAATCCTCTGCTCTAGGATGGCCCTGCTTGAGCAGGGAGGTTGGAAAAATGATAGGGAGCCACCCGTTAGGGAATGTCCTCCTTTTTGGTGAGGGGGGGTGGGGGCGGGAACGGAGTCCCGGCTGGGGGGGGTAGGACCCTAATTCTCTGCATGGCCGGGCGCATGGGGTGGGGGACGCACCTGGTCCTGCATGGAGTGGACCGGGCAGGTGTTCGCACCTGGTTTCAGCCACGGAAGGGGAGTTAGGGGATCCTCCTGGCCTGGTGACTCGAAGTGAGAGTGGCCGGCTAGGAGAGGCCGTTCAGCTCATTAGGAGCTGGAGTCAGAGTTGGGATCTCCTCCTAGCCTGGAGAGCTAGGGTCAGGAGAGTAGACCCTACCTACCATAGGTAGGTAATTTATAATTTCTATTTTGCTTTTACGTGGTACTTCAGTTACATAGTTTTTACTTTTGAGTCCAGGACTACCTGGATGTAATTTGTTGGTATAATTGCTTTTTAGGTACTGATTATTTGGGATACAAATGGTTATTGTTTAACTGTTTCCGGCCGAGTTAATTGTGTGAGTGTGGAAGGTGGGAGCACCAGTATAGTGAGGTTCTGGGATAAGGTGGTGGCCAAGAATCCCCAGACCACTCACCGGACAGGGAAAGTGAATTTAAAAGCATTTAGTTAAAGAGAGAGAGAAGTTCTGCTTATTGTACTGTTAGTTTGAAAGCAGAGGTATTCAAATTTATAAGCTGCTAATTTTTATGTTTGAGTTCAAGACTACTTGAACGCATTTAGTTGGTACTAACTGTTTTCTGGAAAAAGTAAAAAGTTTAATTTTTCATTTTAGGGTGAGTGGTGCTGAGAGCCCTGAGGTGCCATTTTGAGTGTGAGGCAGTGGAGCCATGTTGTGAGTGGGCCGGGCCCCTCCCTGGAAGCAGAGGAGGAGCGGGAACAGGCAGACATTGGTTGATGTAGAAGGAGGCGGGCCAGGGGGGGCCTAAGATTGACAGAGGGTCTTGGTGGCCGTCGTGTTAGTTGTCCTTAAGTTTGTGGTCCTTATCATTAAGTTATAATAAATATAATTTATTTATATGTGTGACTTAGTTGTGATTGGAATCTTGTGGTCAGTTGTAGTGAGTCCTTGTACTGTTTTTTGTCTCTAAAGATTGTTTGTTTTATTGGGTTATTTCATTACTTTTGTTCATTGTATTAATTTCAATTATGAGAATTCTAATTTGGTATTTTGGATCATTACTAGTAATATTTAGATGGATCTTTTTATTGTAATCTATTCAGATTGTTTTATTTAGTTGTTTCTGTTAGATCATTTGATATTCTAATAGTTTAGTTTTATTTTAATTCTACATTTTAATTGTTTTATTTCAGTTTGTCAATTATTTCAGAATTGTTTTACTAGACTAAAATTTTCAATTTAATTATTTAATTTCAATAATTCAATTTAAATATTTTATTATTTTATGTGATTGTTTTACTCAACAAAATTTGTTTAATTATTTAATTCCAATCATTCTATTTAATTATTTTATTTAAATTTGACAGTTGTGATTTCAATTATTCTATTTCAATTATTCTGTTTCAATTCTACTAATTATTTCATTCTATTTCAATTATCTGATTTTCAATTATTCTCATTTAAATCTGAACTAGTTAAAAGTTGCTATTTCAATTATTTTATTCTAATTGTTTTATTTCAATAGTTTAATTCTGATTTATTTAAATTCATTAATTTTTTTATTCAATTGTTAAATTAAAAATATTCCAGTTGTTTTATTTCAATAGTTTTTATTCTGATTTGTTTATTTCAATTGTTTTATTTCAATTCATTAATCATTTTATTCAATTGCTATACTAAAAAAACAAACCAGTTTTGTCAATTCCATTGTTTTGTTGGATACAGTTATTCAAAATTAGATCATCATATTCTATTCTGATTGCTTATTTCTAATAATTTTATTGAATTTTAATTGTTTTATTCCAATTGTTTCTTTATTGCATCCAAGCTTACCAAGTGTTGGTGGAAAAATGTGGGAGTACACATGTAGTAGCACCAGTGTACTTTTCATGGTCTGGTCTAAGTCCCCTTAGGCATCTGACAGACATTGTGTAACACGCTGCTAGCCTAGTCATGGATGGGTCAGCCATGACTGTTCTGGGTATGGGAGCTTGTGCATCCTGCCCCAATATGCTCTTGTGCAATAGTTATAAATAGGCTATCCAAGGAATAAAGAGAACTTGAACATCTGAGAAGCAGAGTGACAAGGAAATGCTGGTACTTTTTACTGATATTGAAAATAGTGTGCATCTCATTTTACATGGTTTATACGATGACTGTAATTGTTTGGGTTTTTTTCCCCTGAAGATCTGTACATGAATTTTCTGGGAAGTAAAGACATTTGTGAATCTTAAGGATTTGTAGTATGTTAGTACCACTTCAGGGTGTTTCTGCAGTGCTCAGTGTTACACAATATTGTTTTATTTGCTTTAATTCTATTACAAATGGATTATTATTCAATTCTGCTGTTAATGAAGATATTAATTACTTCTTGGTACTACACTGGTCTACAGTTTTAATCCTTTGCATGGATTGTAAAAGGCAGAGGGAATGACAATCCCAGACGTGCACTGCTTCAAAGTGATTTGCAGGGAACAGCTCATTAAGATTTGGATGATGAGTGAAACTCATACCATCATGATATTCTATATATCTTGGAATAAAGTGATTCCAAGCTTTGAATGAGTTGCATCAGAGAGGAATATGTATTTCTATGATCTGTTCTAATGACCTGAAACCAACAAGATGAAAATAGTTTCTTCTAATCTTAGTCCATGAAAGGAAAAAATGTGATGCTTGATTAGTCCATTTTAAACTCTTCTCCCATCAATCTACTTATATTCAGTAGGGATACTAAAACTTAGTTTTTCTTTCAGTTGGAAATTCTTGTTTATCACTGCTGTGGATTGTCACAACGACCTCATGCACAAAATGTGCTGTGAGTGACTAAAGACAATCCTTTTAAAAGGGCAAGTACACTCAGATATCTACCTGTAGCTGAAAAAAGAAGCACTGTCAGTGACCAGACTTCTATGTTTGTTTCCATTTCAACAGGTAAGCAAACACTTCTGGTGTTTACTATCTGGGTTTCACATCACCTTTTCTGTTAATAACAATGGCATTCTGCAGAAATTGCCTGCATGTGGCAGTAAAGATTACTGTTGCTTTCACTTAAAGCGGCCCAAGGCTTTGCTATCTTAGCGTCACCAGAATCACCTATCCTGTGCATCTCAGTCAGACCCCTTTGTTCTCATGCCAGCATTGTCCTTTAGCTTAAATAACCTCTCTCCCTGATGTTTGTTTTTCTCTGATGTATTTTTTAGACAACAGTACTATTACCTCATAGTTTCCTTGCTGGAAAACCTTACACTTTTTATCCTGAGTGTCATTGAGGATGATGTGGGGTGGTGCGGAGCAACTCTTTGCGGGCAGAGCCTGCAGGAGGGTTTTTGTTGAGGCCAAATTCCTCCTGGGACACAGAGAAACACATGGCATGTGTTAGGCAGAATGTGGCCATTGTTCCTCACACAAGCACAGAGTTCTGGAGAACTGCTGTGGGGAATTACATTTGATCTCCCAGTGGTTTTTGGACAGCTAGAAATTTACTGTTCCATTCACTATGTACTTGGGGAGCTAGAGTTGGGCTGTGAAGCATGGTAGTTTGAAAGAGGATACCACCAGAAAAAAACACGTTCTACTTTTCTGACACTTGTTCACATGTGAATCTCTTTCTTCAGTGCTCAGTAAGCTTTGCCTCTCTTTTGTCTTGAAAGCTTCTCTGAGAATCAGACTCTTTTCCACAGAGAATTGGACAGAGAAAAATCCCAATAAAATGAACTGTTTCAGTGTTTTGATTGATGGCATTTGAGACTTAAGTATTTTAAAGTTACATCCTGGCATAGCTTGTTTCTTTAAAACATACAACACAAGTTGTATGTGAGCAAAATTACTAAAATTATCTGCACAGAGAAGACTTTTCTCCCAGAATAATATGCAGTAATTATTTTAAACTATAAACTAATATAAATTATTACTAAATAGCTGAACTATTTCCTTGGCATTGAAAACTTAACCAAAACGGACAATTCTCAAAAGTGCTGCAGAGCACTGCCAGGCCTGGAAGGTTTTTATTACTAAAATTATGACTGGAATATTTTCCACAATTTTCCCCTTAGTTTTAGTACCTTAATACTTAGCAACTACCACTAAAATTTCCCCCTATTGCCCTGCTCACTGTCAGACCTTGGTGCCAGATATGCCTTCTGTCAGTTCCTTCCTGTAAAGAAACCACATGGGGGAGAAGGTGAAAGGGAGAAAAGCTTGCAATGTAGACATTTGCCTTTATGCAATGTAGACACTATGCAATGTAAACCTAGTGCCAGCACACAGGAACCCAACTGTTCCTGCAGCTGTGCCACAGAGGAACCCTATCCTTAGGGAGCACTGGGGTTAGGGAGTCAGTAGCCTACATCTCTGTGCAGACTCCAGGTCCTTAGCGCTTTCTTTCATCCCACAAGTCCCACTACAGTGATGGATATTTCTGCAGGGTCTTACAGGCTCTGGCAGTGGTTAGTCCCACTTCTCCCCTAGGGCTGTGCAGAGATGGAAGAAATTATCTGTGTCCTCCTTCCACCCTTATCTTGTGCAGCCCTCTCCCTCGTGACTGACTTTATTGCTAAAGCCAAGGAGGCTCGGTTTGTGCTTCCACAATTTTCCACAATTTTCATGGAGCAGGAAAACTCAGTTTGCCTAGATTGCACAGATTTGAAGCTACAGCAATGAGGAATGGCAGTAATAGAACTATAGCTGAAATGCTAGTTTCTTTACCTAGACATTGCTTTTATTTACAATACACAGGTTTTGGGTTTGCTACTTCTACTGTTACCTTTCTGTAGAAGCTCTTAAGCTGCAAGGTGAGCCTTTGGCAGCCTGTGATCAGTAAATCTCAGTTTGAGCTGCCCTTGCAGCCTGTGAGGCTGCTGGGGGCTGCTGTCAGCTGGCTCCCAGGGAGCAGTCACCTCTCTGCTGGTTACACACTGAGATCCATCCCTGCATAACTCAGGCCTGGCCTGAAATGTTACTTTATCTGAGAAGTAAATGAATTAAATACTTGCAAAGACAGTGATCCCCTCTAGCAGCTTGGGATTGGGATTTTAAATTCCCCAGTTTGAGTTTAAATGAAGATTTACCTTCCCCTTCATAAAGAGCTTGCTGCTACCGATAGCCTCTGTGGGTGATGGACGATTCCTCTTTTAGAATTTTAATTTCATTCACTTATTTGAAAGATAGTCTCTAGACTCTGAGAAATGAGCAATGCATTGTTTTGTGATATTTAATGATTTCTTAAACAGTCCACCTTGTTTGTGGTAAAGTTCCATGCCCATGTAGAGAATAAACCCTCAGCCTTCCTTCTTTTTCTTCAGGACTGAATAAAGGCTGCTGAAATTGCTGTCCCAGCTCTGTGTAAAAAGCAAAGGTGGAGACCTGGAGGAGCTCCTATTGTGCTGGGGTCTTCAGTGAGGGAAAAAGCACTCTTCCTGGATGTTAATTATGTAAGAAGAGAGCAATGAAGCACGTACTCCCTAAGGAAGCTGAAATGCTGAGACTGAAATATCTCTGATCATGGTGCATCCACCTGCCCTTGCTTTCAGACAGGCTTGGGTACCAATAGCCATTTGTCTGAGGCAGAAGGGATCTCAGCACAGAGCAGCACAGTGTGCCTGAGGGCTCAGTCAAGCCTGCATGATTTTCTGTGAACACAGGACAGTAGCCAGTTTGAAGTTAGATTGGTGAGTCTATTCCATACTAAAGGCATTAATTAACAAAATAAAATCTAAATATTTTCCTTGGTTGATTCCTATGGTATGAGGCTAGTTTCTGTTTCTTACGTGGGACAGATACAATTATAAGCAAGCCAAAATATCTTAAGAATTAATGTGTAAAATATTTTAATGAGTATAGGAAGATATTTACTCCTCTTTATCAAACTTAAAACAAAAGCAATGAAAGTTTAAACATTTTAGGAGTCCAAAACAATACCTTTTATCCGTTCATTTGCCAGGCCTATGAATCCAAATAAAGCCTTTGTCAAGGTTTATTAACATTTTTCATTTCCTAACTGGGATTGACCAAATCTTAATTTGCAAAGTTTGTGCTTTCTTATTAAAAATGTTACATTTTTTAATTTGGCTACCATATAAGATTTATCTGATTTCTGTAATTTCTGGGAAATTAGTTCTGTTGTCAATATTCATGCTTCCTTGGGGAGAAAAGAATATACGTGCACTGAAAAATGACCCATTCTAAAGCTTATTCAAGCTGTTACTTACATATCATCTTGCAAAGCATCTGAAAAGAAAATAATGCATTTTCACAAATTATCTGTTGATCAGCCATTTCTATCAACTGCAAGTGTGTAGTGAGAAGATAACAGCAGTGGTTTAATATATCATAAAGACAGACAATGTTTGAAAGTACATGTTAATCTACATTTTTAGGAGTTACAAATAAGACAACTATGTGCACAGTACTTTAAAATGTAGTGAACTTCTCTTCTAGTTGCATGGCCAATACCAGTTCCTTACACAGTTGAATCTGGTTAAAAGCTCTATTCCCAGTGTAATAAACATGACACCACAGGTACAACATTGACAACAGAGATTAAGGCCCTGTTCTGATGATTGTTTCTCTGTGCATCCCCCCCGCTCCACTCCCCTCTTCTCCTAGTCCTTTCCCCCATATATAATCCATTTTTTTCATACAGAATGAAAAGTTCATTGGCTCCAGAGTATTCAGGAAGAAAAATTTGAGATACAAGATTTTAATCTAAAAATAATGAAATATGCAATGAAATGTAGATTCACAACAATACCTGGCACTTATAAGGCTGTTTTAATATTTTTTGTTTTGTTATTATTATTTGGGTATGTCAGAAGAAACCAGTGTCTACATCCCATGTTGCTAAACACTCAAAATCACATAGTGCACAGAGGATAGAGTCCAGGACTGAAGATCTTATAGACTGATTTGGTCTCAGCAGTTTTCGTGTATTTGAGGAAGATCAATCATCTCTATATTTGAGATACAGAAGGTGAGGTACAAAACCCACAAATGCTCAGAAAAGCACAGTGAACCAGTGGTGAACTTTGGGTCTGTTGACTCCCCAGTCACTGATTTATTAAATTAAATTATTAATTATTTTTAAGAATTAATTTTAATTTATTAAATTAAAATTATTATGTTGTGCTGAGAAGCACAACATAAGCCTTGCATCATAAATCAGTGTTAAATGCTCACAGCCTGATTCTGCACTACTTTTTGGCATCTGTAGTCATGTTTACTTTGTAAAGAGGGCTTAAAATACCCTACAAACAAAGATGATTTGGTGTCAATACATGTAGTTTAATAGAGAATCAGGTTCACAGCAATTACTCTCTGGCATGCTGAGACTAGAATTATCTGTTCTATTGGCTAAAGAATTAAGGCTGATTCCTGTTTATATTAAGGCCTCTGTATCCTTCCATTATAGTGTAACTGTGCCTCAGTGCAAGTAAGACTCAGGCTTTAGAAAAACTTAATCTTCTAGCTCCCTTTGAAGTCAATGATTTTAATTGCCCTAAATGCATAAAGTAACTGGAACCAAACAACCTGTCTCCATACTACAAAATATTTGAAAAAGATTGTAAAAGAATGTAAAAGTAGCTTGAGATAAAACCAATCATATGCTTGTTGAAGAAGAAAATTAAATTAGATAGACTTGTTGCCTGATATTCAAAAAGGAGAATTGTACATGATAACACACTTTTATATGCAGATAACTGGCTTGATGTTTGGTGGCTATGATTATGACAGATAAATTGTAGATGCTTATTAACTCTGGCAATCAAGTAATCTTTTATACTACTACAATAAAATAGAAATAAATTTATTTGGTATTTACGTGCTAGACCTAGTTTGCATAAAGCTAGTGTGTGTTATATTCAGAGGAGTAGGAAGATGACTCCAAGCTCAGTAAAATGTTACATGATCACACATTTCTCCTGTTGCTGTTACTAAAAGCTATTATGGATTTCTTTCTTAGAATAGGAGTTCTCTTACTTTGCTCTCTGTAGATAAGCATTATTTTAGAAAATATTTCCTCTCCAAATGCTCTATTTGTAACTGTTTTAGTTTAAAACCTTCAATTTTTAAACAACAGTTTAACATTTGCTGGCTAAGAATAAAACTGTCTTTGCTCTATTCAAATTTAAGGCCTGGGTTCCCATGGGTTGCAGCACTTTAACTTTTTTACTTCTAGTTAGAAGTAGGTTTATTTTTTAAAGCTAATATGGAATTTGTTTGTGTAAATTAACGTAATTCTGTAGACATCAGTGTGATGATGATAATTACCCAGCTGAGGATCTGGCCACTGAAATGTAACTCCAGTGATTGGGAAAGCTGTTTCGTACACAAGTCAAATAACAGCTGGATCATACGTGATGTTATGTTTTGTTTCATTGGCAATTCAGAAAATATGTAATAATAAATTCCATTGTTTCTATTCCCCATTTTTGTATACAAATAAATCATCTTTTCTAAAACTTTCTTTAGTAAGGCTTGTACTCATTGTTATATCAAAAATGGTTGCTATTGGAGCAATCTTTCAGTTTGTTTTCCTTAGAGTTAACTTTATTATCAAATTCTACAGCATTCTAACTTTAATGGTCATTAGCAACCCTGCACTTGAGTAAAGAATCACATTAAAAAAAGTATAAGGTATAACATTTTCTTGTCCAAAGCTAAGGCAGGATGAACAAAAGTAATGAACTCATCTGATCCTCATCTAACAAGACGATTTTAAACAGTATTCAAAATACAAAGCCCAAGCAAAGATGTTGTCATGATGATTATTGCACTTTCTCAGTGTCATTGCTATAGAACTATGTTTCCCTTTAGCAATATATAATTTATTTGCCTGAAGACCACACAAAGTTCTTGTACTCTGTAAAGGAAAAAAAGCACTTAAAGTGTTATGGATTATAACCTAGACAGAAGGATACAAAACCAAATTACCATTCTATGATTCAGCTATGCCATGATCTAATATTGTTTCAAAATTATTTTTCTGTCATTTAGATTGGCATCATCTACTAAACACCCCATGGGCTCTTTGGCATGCTACAAACTCAGCAGATGCACTGTCTCCTGGGCTTTACAGCTTCTTCTGATGAATGTACAACATTTGGAACAAAGCCACTTTTGACACCTTCCCATCCATCTTGTATTGAGATTTCTCCATTTTTTACAAGTTCATAGATATCTCGTGTAAGAATTGTAAAGGACTCTTCAACATTTGTGGCATCTTTTGCTGAAGTTTCTATATATTTCATACCACAGTCCGATGACAGTTTTTCAGCTTCTTCTCTCGTAACCTCGCGCTGTGACACTAAGTCACATTTGTGTCCTACTAACAGGAACACAATCTGAAAGGGCTGCACGTGCATTTTTGCTTCTTCCAGCCAGTCCTTCACATGTTCGAAAGATCGTCGATTTGTGATGTCAAATACTAGTAGGCCACCCACAGAATTGCGATAATAAGAGCGTGTTATTGATCTATGAAAGAGAAAAAAAAAGAAAATGCATTTTCACTTTATTCATAAAGTAATTACTTTTCCATATGGCAATATGTTTTTATCTTTTATAAGTTTTATTAAATAACTTTCCTTTTTTAAAGCTGATTGAAATGTATTAATTTAATCTACTAGACTACTACTTTATTTCCTACACTCAAAATTCACTTTCTAAACATTCCTGAACCCAACACCTCTTGGGCAAATATTGAATGCTGAATTATTCTGTAAAGTGGTTTTTATTAGCAACTGTGGGACATGTTCACAAAGGAAAAGATATATACTCTTGGTGTAAAGTCTGAGTCCTTCAGCTGCATAGAAACATGCACTTCACTTTGTTCTAATCAATTATTTCAGACTGAAGTATGCACACATATGTCAAGAAATCTGGAGCCCAAACTTGTCAATGTTCAAGTGTCTCCTTTTGCATTCCTTGCAGAAACATTCTTTAAAATAATGATTATATAGCTAATCATAACTCTTGGTGCTTGCAGAAGTCAACAGGTAGCAGGCAGAGAAAGGAAACTCCCTGAATAAAACTACCCAAAACTTTTGAGTGAGCTGGGCAAACACAAACTTATTACAGTCAAGGGACACATCTACCTCCAGTATCTTCCTCATACAGAGGTTCAAAAGCTCTTTATATTTTATAAATTTACAATTTTTTGGCATGAGGGCTGGCAAGAGTTATTTTCTACTTTTAAGCCCTCTAAGCTCCAGAACATTCACTGAAAGGAATTTGGAAGTAGGAAACTCTTCTTCTGGTTGAAAAAAAGAATTAATGTGCTCTAGAATAAGGAAAAAAGTTAGACTTTAGAGAGAAAAAGTGAAAGATACAGGAACTAAACCATTATTTTAAATCTCTAATCATGAGCAATAGGAGAGAATGGAGAAGGTAAGAAGAGACATTTTAAAGGAAGTGACAGCCTACCAAGGAATGTACACAAACACTTGTTGCTGGCATAAATATATAACTGGTGTATATATAAGTATTCTCCAAATGAAATGAGAAGCACAATCTCTAAACAGTCATTATTTGAAATAATAACCCAATCTAAGAATTAATTCCATTTTATCTCAGAGCATGCTGATGCCAAAACCTCAAGACTTTAGGAAGCAGGATGAACTGTGCACAATAGCACAACTTTTTCTAAAGTAATTCCCTCCAATTCTCAGTTCATCACATTTCATAGAGTTTTGATGACAATTTGAACACAGATGTATGATTAGCAGCAATTGTCCTATTACAGATAGGTAAGTGCACAGATATCGAAGACTTAGATTTCTTGGCATATCCAAATTCATTTAGTGACAGCAAACAGCATTTGAAATGGTTTTATTTAGATAAGAGGGAGGGACTGTTTCTCCTAATGCTTAGAACGATCTTTTCTACATTCCCAGCAATAGAGTCCATGCAGTGTCTCTCTGAATGTGAAGACAACAGGATCTTAACCTCAGATTAATTCAAAAGGCCTGGATATGAAAAATGGCACACTATTTCATAAAATTGTTTAAGAACATAAGTGAGAGGTGTCACATTTTGTGAAGTATTAAATACAGGTACCATAAGAATCTGTTTCTGGTTTTCTTAACCCTTTTTTTTTTTTTCCCTCTAGAGTGTCTGCAAACACAAATGAAGGCAGAAAAATAATTCAGGTAGTTCTAGTAAGAGCAAATGTGGATGACAAAAATGGAATTTAATATGGAGAAGCGAAAGCTAATACAAGCTACTTTCATTTAAAAAACCCCCAAAAAAAAGCCCCAAACAACCCTGCCTCCACCCCAAACCTTGAAAACAAAGAAATGCATTAGCCAGGAAAGAAAGTAGGTTAGTATTGAAAATGCAATGCATCATCTGCCAAGTATTTCTGTATAAAAGGATGTTATATCACGTATCTATGAAGTACTAAAACACAGCCCTCTGTGTGTTTTTGGATGCTTATGCACAGCAGTCAGTACCCTCATCTCTTGCAAGACCCTTCTGCAGAGATGTGCTAATTTACAGTAGCTGATGATCTAAGCCATTATATTGAATTATGTGTATGTATTGCTTTTAATGGAGATGACTAAAAAGTATCCTGTAACTTTGTGCTGTACATCACAAAAACTGGGTGAATATATTGGAGAGGCAACAGTCATTTTTTCTGTACTTCTCGTATGTATAATTTGAAACTAGTTTTCTTATTACAAAAAAAAAAAAAAAGTATAACAGAGAGTCTTTAGAAAACAGCAACTCAAGAAAAAAAGCAATACAAAAATTTTAAAGAAACATTTATACATAAAATATCATGTTATGTGGCTTTCTAAAATCTGAGAAAAGGATCATAGAACCACAGAATCTTTTAGGGTGGGAAAAATCTTTAAGATCATTGACTCTGTTAACTCAGCACTTCACAGTCCACCACTCTACCACTTCCTTAAATTGACACACCTACATATTGTTTAAATAACTCCAGGGATGGTGATGCCACCACTTCCCCACACAACTTGTACCTGTGCTTTTACTTCATGAGCCAGCAGTGCCCTGGCAGCCAGGAGGGCCAGCCCTGTCCTGGGGGGCATCAGGCACAGCATGGCCAGCCAGGCAAGGGAGGGGATTGTCCTGCTCTGCTCTGCTCTGGGGCGGCCTCACCTCCAGTGCTGGGGGCAGTTCTGGGTGCCACCATATAAAAAAGACATCAAACTAGAAAGAGTGTCCAAAGGAGGGCAACAAAGATTATGAAGGGCCTTGAGGGGGAACCATAGGAGGAGTGGCTGAAATCACTGGATGTGTTCAGCATGGAGGAGACTGAGGGGAGACGTCATTGCAGTCTGCAGCTTCCTTGTGAGGGAAAGAGGAGGGGCAGGCACCAATCTCTTCTCTGTGGTGCCCAGGACCTGAGGGAATGGCCTGAACCTGTGTCAGGGGAGGTTTAAGCTGGCTATCAGGGAAAGGTTCTTCACCCAGAGAGTGGTTGTGCACTGCAACAGGCTCCCCAGGGAAGTGGTCACAGCACCAAGCCTGACAGAGTTCAAGAAGCAATAGGACTATGTTCTCTGGCCCATGGTGTGATTCTTAGGGTCATCCTGTGCAGGGTCACGAGCTGGACTTTGATGGTCCTTGTGGGTCCCTTCCAACTCAGGAGATTCTATGATTCTATGATTCTTTGTATAATCACATCAGACTGTGGCTTTAAGGAGGCTTTAAATCAGGCACAGTGTTTCTTTTTCATTGTGATCTTACTGATCTTTAACAGATGAACCAAACTTTCACTAAAAGCTTTATCTAATTTTGAAGAGTTATTTTTATACTATGACTAAAGACTACATTGTAATGTAATAATTTTGAAAATACATATTGCTTACTGAAAAAGATTAGGATAGTATTTTATTTTCAAGATGTACAAGAAACAGAATGTGTTTAATATCCTGGTCTACTAAAAAGTGCATTAATGGAAGCACCCCCACAATATTTTGCCCCTACTGAAATGAATTCTCAGTCTTAGCACCATGATAATTTTATGGCATTGGTGGTTTCATTATTTAAATATATTATTGGATTTAAATACAGGAAAATTAAACAAACAAAAAAGCCATAGCAAAGTAGATGATGTAAAACACAGGCAAAGTAGCAGATTGCTCTAAATGACTAATCTGAAGATAGAAATAAACTGAGGTTGTGCCCTTTATTTACATTAATCTGCATTACTGACCTGAGTATATATTAAGCCAGTCTGTAGGTTCTTGTTCTAAGATGTTAGAGTAAGATGTTAAAGGTGTTACTGATTGTCTTGTTATTGTCCATATGGCACCTCAGACAATGAGAGATTCTGCTTAGTGATGCCTGATTGATGTCAAAATAAATATATTCAATAGCTATTTCAGGGCATGTTAAAGGTGATTTCTAAGTCAATATATGAAATCCAGTTCAAATACAGAATCATCAGTGAGCTAGAGACATGTAAGAATTTTTCCCAAATAATTCCTCCAAGGAAGAGGAAGTACATGACATCTTTCAAGAGAGTGTGATGGCAGGTGTGTCACATCTTCCTTTCCCCCTGGGAGTGTCCCTAATGCCTGGGACCAAAAGAAGGGTGTTATTATGCAGCCAGTAGTTTTCCCTGCGTGCAGAGAACTACCCAGGGAGCTTTAAAGACAGGTTTTACCTCCTCTGAAATCCCAAGTGAGGGATTTTGCAAGTGAGCCAGAGCAGAACTGGAAATCAGAACTGCAAACTGCTTGGTGTTCCCCAGTATTAAATAACTTCTTGGAGGAATTAGCTCTTCCCTAAGATCATCTTCACTTGTGATCTGTAGCATTCTCCATTAGCAGAGAACAGAATGCAACATTGTAACCTGTGGTGTAAGGTAGTAAAATATTTATCATTTATTTGACTAAACATAAAACAGACTGTACAATAAACACTATTATATTTAGTGCACCAACTGACAAGAAACTCTCAGCAGAAAAACAAATGCAAAGATTTAAAACTACTTTCTTCAGGTTGTATCTTCTGAGTATTAGAAAAAACAAAGAGGTAAATTTAAGAGCAGCCGACTGCATGACTCATCAGTGTATATTCCCTGAGCATTCCGGGGTTAAAAGATTTTGATAATTTGATTTTAAATGTATGCAGGATTCTGTACACTAGCATTTCTTGAAGTCAAATGTCTTATCATTTGCCATCCTGGTCATTTGTCAGCAAATTCAGAAGAAAGAGATTGTACACTCTTAGTTGCTTATTTACAAGTATTCTACATTCTGTCTGGAATGCACAGAGGGTGAAAAATGCTAAGAGCTTTCCATTAACACTGTTAATTTCTTTGCTAACCCTTCAGAAGCCTATCGGCAAAAATACATCTCAAGTTGTGACTCATGCAAGCCCAGGAAAGTTGTTTGTTGTTTCACTCTAATGCTTATTATAAAGAAAAAAAGTTGTTGTTCCCCAGTAAAACAGTGCAATCCCACCTCTTTAGCTGGGTGTGGGCATCAGCACCACTGTTGCAAGAGAAGACAGGGAGTTTAGAGGAATTGATTCTGGCCAGTGAAGGGGCCCATTTTAACCCTCCTCCTAGCAGTCCAGTAACAACAGGTGTGTGGGTCAAGTACACGGAGATGGGCTATGCGCTTGCCCATGCCACGAATTCATATCTATTGAACCCCAAGTCCAAACTAAAATCCATGCACAACTTGCCTGAAGTGGCAAGCAGTTCAGACACAACAGAGACACAAGAGTGAGTGAGTGACAGTGTCAGCTTGTAAACTGGGAAATGACTGAGACTTTTCTGGGGGAGGAAAAGATGGTAGTTTTGCTACTCTTTGTAACAGAGGGGAGAAAGGAGAGTATTTAATACTCAGTGCAGCATTTGAACTAGATTAGCTATATTATAAAGGGTAGCAGTAGTAGTGAAGACTCCTGGCCACAATCAGTGCACAGTAAGTGCAGAAGGCAGACAAAAACACTGAAATAAGGGACTGTAGCTGGCTGCCCAGTGGCTTCACCACTGCCACGGCTGCACTGGTGCAGATGGTGTTGCTGTGCTGGAAGGCAGAAGAGCTGGGAGGTGGCCTGGTCTCCAGATTGCATGGGAGAGTTAATGGCAGAGCGAAATACTGCAGGGGAGGATGAGTTCGGAGGTGATGACAAAGTAAGAAATGCAGAGTTAGGCAGAGGCCTCTTGCAGCAGCGAAAGGAAAAAACGTGGAGGAAGGATTGCTATGTTAGGTCCAGGACTTCAGGGGAAAGATGAGGGAGGTTAGAAGAAACAGGATAAGGCCACTTGTTACCCTACAGTGAGAGCTGAGAGGAGAAGGGTAGCTGTTCCTTGGTGTGTCTGAAAGGAAAGGGTGGTGAAGGCAACTCCTGGAAAGGAACTCGTGGGCACTGGGGCAAGAAGGATGGTGGGCCACAGGGCTAGGACCACTGGTGGGCAAAGAGGTGAAGGACTGTTTGGGGCACAGCAACCAAATGGGTGCAGGGAAATTTTGCAGAGGGGAAAGGCAAAGTCCTTGGGGCCGGGGATGTGTCGGATGAGGAGGGTACAGGGCCGGGGGGCAGCAGGGCGTGCCTGGAGGCCGGCAGATTTGGGAAGAGGGCGGGAGGGGGTGTGGGTAAGATCCCAGGTCCTGTACCTGAACCGCTCCTGCCCCGCCGTGTCCCAGAGCTGTAGCTTGACCCTCTTGCCGGGCTCGATCTCTACCAGCCGGGAGAAGAAGTCCACTCCCACGGTGGGGTCGGAGTGCAGCGGCCCCGGGAAGCGGCCCTCGGTGAAGCGGTGCAAGAGGCAGGACTTGCCCACGGTGGAGTCGCCCAGCACGATCAGCCGGAACTGGTAGATCCAGATAGCCGCGTCCATGGCGACTCCGGCCTGGCCCGGCTCTGCCTTGGGGCTTTTCCTGGGGCTCCTGCGCGGCCGGTGCCTGCACCGCGCCCCGATCGCCCCCACGCCCGGCATCGGCGCGGCGGGCGGGCGGCGGCGGGCGCTGCGCGGGGCCCGGGGCGCCGCTCCCGCGGGGGCAGGACGGAGCTCCTCCGCTCTCCGCTCCGGGCGGGGACCGGGAGCCGGGTACCCCCGCCCCGCTCCCGGGGCTCCGCGCCGTGGTCTCCGCCGGCTGCCCGGGCGGGGCGGGGCGGGGCGGGGCGGGCGCTGTCCCTTCAGCACCGCTCTGCCCCGCTCCGGCCGCGGCTCCGCGCCCCCGCTGTCCCGGCTGCTCCCGCCGCTGCCGCCGTCCCGGCCTTGCCGCCGCGCCCGCTGCGCGCTGGGGCCGCCTCTGCCGCCCGCTGGGCGGTGGCGCGGCCGAGCCGCCCGCCGGGGCCGCCCTCCCACCGTGCCGTCATGTGCGCGGCCAGACGGACCCTCCTCCGCCGCACCTAGCACCGAGGGAGCGCTGCCTTGGGACTGCAGCCCGTGCCCAGCGTCCAGCTGCCCCCGCGGGCAACAAGTTCGTGGTTGGGCCGGGAGAAGGGGGATGCTGGGGCAGGGCGCCAGGCCGGCATGGAAAATCGCGGGAGAGAGATTGTTAAAGCATGACATTTGCAAAGAAATTGGGAGCAGAAAGAAAATACTGGGCGAGGTGTGGAGGAACCAGATCGGCAGGTGAAAAAGGGGCACGGACCTGGAAAGGAAGGTGTCTGATGGGGTGGGATTTGGGCAGGCCAACAGATAGAGAGGAACAAGTGCCAGATTGTAATGATGTGCTGGGAAAGTGGCAGAAGGGAAAAGAAGAGTTAGCAATCTAGTTATCCCCAGAGAGAACCATACAAACTGCCTAGAGAGAGGACATAATACTGGAAATGACAGGGACATACACTCTTCATTTCCCAGTGGAACAAACTGCTTGTATTTGGCCTTGGTAAAAGTGCCTTTACCCAAAGTAATAGAAGATTGTGTCAGAAGAGATTCCTGCATCAGAGAAATTTCTTTGCCCTCCTGGGATCTTCAGCTGACTATCATGTTATGATAAATCTGCTGAGCAATAGATTTCTCAGATTTCTTTTAAGTCTCAAGAACCACATGGGATAACAAACACTAACAGTCCTCAGATGGCTGGTATGGGCATTAGAGCCAAATAAAAGGAAATAGTTGGACTTCTGGTAAACAGAATTGCATAAGCTTCTGTAGTTTGGGCTGGGGTGAGTGAGCCATGGGCAGTGAGCCTGAAAACCCAGCTGAGTAGGCTGGGACAGCTGGGAAGTAGGTTGTTGTTGGCAGAAGGTCAGCAGCAAGTGGACACTGATATGAATAGGCACTTTGACAGTGAAAAGGACAGGGAGAGGAGATGGATGACATTATTTTTCACACAGCCCGTTTTCCTCTGTCCATGTTGGGCACAAATGCAGCTAAACCCCTAAGTACCTGTGGTTGGTTAAAGGCATATCTGAAACCACATTTCTTTTGTAAGTCTTTGGGGCAATTTGTTGTGGCGAGTATTCTCATTGCTCGAGTCTGGTATTGTTACTGTGATGTGTTACTTGGTCACCACTGTGAGACAGGCAGATTTCCCTTGTAGGCCTGGGTAGATCTCGCAGCTCCACAGAGTGGATGAGTGAGACTAAGGACAGGGTGAACTTGCATGCACTGCTCAGGAGATGATGTCTCCCATCCCCAAAATGCATTTGTCTGGGATATGAAAGGGTGGCTGGCCCTGGGGAACAGATCCAGATGACCCCAGAACCTTCCAGCAAAGATGTGGCCTGGCAATCTAGAAACTGTAAAAGGCACATCCAGGAGCTGCCAGAGGGATTTATCTTGCTGTGCATGCTAAGCTGAAGCTGCAAGATGCCACCTGCTCCAAGAACCTCTTCTCTCCAGGGACCTTTCAGGCTGTCCAGTCAGTCCCTGGGACACAGTGATTCTGTGTCTGCAGGTATCTCTGAGTGTGTTCTCATTTGACTCCTTTACTTTTATCCTTTGTACTTTCACCACCTCTTCTGAAAACAAATTGAAAATAGCTTGTATTTGACTAGTTGCTCCTTTAAGTAGCAATTAAAATAAAACTGTGTTAATAATGATAACGATAAATGAACCCTCATAAGGCTAAAATCAGTAAATTTCTTGCAGTTCCTCATGGGACATGATTACAGGTGATTCCTGGGAATCTTTCCTAAGTGTTCTGAAAAAAAAGTGGCGCTTATATAGAAGTATTCACATGTGAAACAGAGGTTCAATGTACATGATGTCAGTAGTTCTGGTACTTCCCAAATGTGAATACTGAAAAATTTCAAGTGGACTGTTTTCATTGTATAATACCTGGATCAGATACACAGCAGATTGCTGTCCTTTGTACATCTGGGCTGGAAGAACCCCACACTAATCAGCTACACAGCTCATTTCATTCCTAACAGGTGAGCAAAGTCAATTTGCCCAGGGCATTTACAGTTGAGCTAAATATGTCTCCAAATATTATCAGGCTTTTAGAGTCTGGTCTGTCTAGCTAAGCTTGTCATTGTAGAAAGGCTGTGGCATATAAATATCTAAAGCAAAATCTTTTATCTTAATTTGTGATCTTTTGAGAGTCATATGATCAATGCTACCTAAAGAACCTGCATTTGTATTGTCTGCTTTGAAGAGAACACAGTGGGTGAATTTTATGTCCAAGTCATTCAGTTTTTGTTCATTTCCTGGTGAGTACAGAGGCCCTGACATCATGCAGGTCTCACAAAGATCTCAGACCAGCAGTCAGAAGAAGCAACCAGAAACTGCTGTTTTGAGGAGCTGAGATGGTTAGATCAGAGTGGTTAAAGCAGCAACACAAACCTGACTTTCCTTCAGACAGCTCCTAACAGTTGTGCATTGGCAGCTTCAATCTGCTCTTCCCAGGGAGGGTGAATCAAATGTAAATTTGAGGGAAAAAAAAAAGAACCAAACAACCCTAAACTTCCAGATCTTCTCCATTATCACCATTATGACTACATTAAGGTGCAAATCTAAGATGTTTCAATATAAAAATTCCTAATTTCTTGTTATATTTTTGACTTGGCATGTATATTTCTCCAACATTGGTGACTGGGTAGGTGACTACATAGATCACAGACTCCTGAAGAACGTGCTCATGTGCTTACAAAGACATTTAGAGAAACACAGATGAAAGAAATATATTTTTAACCCTAGACAGCCTGTGACTGAGAAACTATGCCTTCTGCTGCCACCCAAGGACCTTAGAGAACTGAGGGACCAGTCTGGAAACAAGATGCCATTCATGCCTGTTTTAATTGCCTAGGCTATTAATCTGGAGACTGATACAGCTGTTGATTTTTTCATAGAACAAGTTTCAACAGATGCAAACTATTGATTTTTTTTTTTTTTTTTCTGCAAGCTGTTTTCTTTTGATAGAGTAGTACTGGAGGTGGGATACTCCCTACTAATTAGTAGTTACTTTCCTTCCTCTTAGATGTCATCAAGCCAGCTAGGTTTCACATGATGGTGGGAAGGACATTCTTAAATGATGATGAGGGTGTTCCTTATGTTGTTGAGATAAATATGTGCATAGAAGAACATCATACAAACCTCAGGAAAAAAAACCAATTTGCCCAACTGAGTGATCAGAATCCATGAATAGACTTATAGATAAATAAATAAATATTAACATAAAGGTCCATTTTGTGAAGCATTAAAATGGTTCTGTGGAGATGATGCAAGTGAAACTACTCGACAGCTGAAAGAACTCACAGAGCCATTTTCAGTGAAGAAGAGAAACACCCATCTGGGACAAGAAAAACTTCTCCTAACTGTTCTAACCTGATCTTCCAGAAGTAACTACAACATAATTTCAAAGACAAGCCTGAGGGAAAATAATTCCTAACTTAACAGAGTACCAAAAATCAAGGACTGGGTATTTACTCAACAAATTCTTTATAGCCATTTGATATTTTTATACTTTTCCTCACATCTCATCAACTTTTAAACCCTCTGTATTTCACACACTGGTTGACAGTGTGTACCTAAACTACAGGGCCATCATTGTCTTAAGCCTCTTGGCCAGTTATCTCCTCTTTCAAAATGTTAGGAATATTATGTTATAGTCAGAGCATATCTTGGTCTTTGCTGTGCCTAGACAAGATGTACTACAAGAAGGGTATTTCCCTCCCAAACATCCATGTATGCCAGGAGCAATAGAAGGTATCTAGCCCTGAAAATCTTGCCATTTTAGACATCTAAGGTGGCATCTTAGACAGCCACAGTAACAGAGGCACATCTAACACAGTAAAGTGTCAGGAAAATACAGGAACATGTAACCTACTCCACTAAAACACTAAAGTGGATTCATGCTCATTGATATGTCAGAGATAATGCCTAAACTGGCTGAGAACCTGTATTTAGGCAGGATTACATTCCCTTAGGTGAGATAAAGAACCAAACCCCAAATGAAAATTTATTCTATGTTACTAAACAAGTGAATTATTTGTTCTCCTGACTCACTCTTCCATTTGTCACTTGGAATGGTTCCTTCAAGGATTCTATGCATCTTTTGCTCTGATAAAGTCTGTCTGCTACATTTACTTTCTGTTTGGAAAATGCTGGTGTGTGAAACAATCTAGATTTCCACTAACAAAGAATGCTCTTTGTCTGAGATTTGTGCCATGGACCCCTTGGACACATTGATCAAAGAGGTACTTTCTTCTATTAGCACTGCATTTCTTTAAGGAATTCTACAAGTTATGGCCAACTATCATGGTCATCTGTTTTTTGACAGAGTCCCACTTTTGGTCCAATGCAATCTCTGATAATTTCTTAAGAGGTGTATAATTTTTAACTGCCTTCATAAATGTAATTGGTGAGATAATTTGGGACAGGCACACAAGTCTCCCTGCACTGCTGGCAAATATTAAACAAAGAATTTCCCCATACGGTAAGTTCTTCTGAATTAACCTATCTGGAAGAATTGCCCAGACAACTAAGCTATGATAACATCTGCCAAGTTTGAACTGTTGAATCCAGAATGAGCTGGTAGCACAGGTAATGTTTCTTCTCTTGTATATTACTTGGATGGAGGGCTGGAGGCTTATAGCAACTCTGTTGGGAATAAATAATTTGCCTATGGGATGGAGGAAGTCAAAGATGCTTGACCTCAGGGCATGTGGTTAGCACAGCCATTGCCACCTTATATCAGTGATTTAATATGAAAGGTATTAAATTGTTAAAGTGTCCTTTGGACACTTTTGATAGTCCTTTGGACACTTTTGATAGTCCTTTGGGAGTAACACCACACATGGTCAT